TTGATTCACGCGATTTTCTGGCTGTCAAGTCACCAGTGCCAAAATGCCAACATTCAAAAAGAAGAGTAACAGACATGGGCATCAGGGCCCGGGGGCTGTCTTGCTGCACTATGACCCTGGCATTTACAGGAGAACACCCGGGGATTCTCAGGTGGTATCGAGATGATCAGGGGATTCCCGATGCTGCCATTGGTTCAAATTTTTCAATCGCATGAGTCCAGTTGAACATGTTGGAGCATGTTGAATGTCGCAGCAAAACATGAGCTCACATCAGATCTAGCTTCTAGCTTACATGTGGCTTCGCCAAGCTGTACGCAAACTTTGCGAACAGGATGCCAGCAAGCCTACAACCTGCAAAGCATTTGCAGAGATTTGCCTTCGGGACCCACCCTGAACAGATCAAAAACCCCCAGACTTCCTGTATGTGCTTAGCTGCTTGATGTCCCTTTGAAGATGTCAAAGCAAAGTGAGGTTGGAGCCAGGGGACGTTCGACGCCTGGATTTTCCTGGGTGTAAGATCTTCTGTTTGGGGATAAATCCTCATGGGGGATCCTGGTTTGAAATTAAGATAATTCAGGGCCCTCAAGGCCACGAAACTTCGTGTACTTAAGTGACTTAAGTATACTTAAGTTACTTAGTCATTTTCATCATTTTGAGCAGGGACTCCCCTGGTTTGGGAGGCGGACAATTTAGAGAAACAGCAGGTGAAAGCGCCGCCTTGTTGTGCTTCTCCGGAGCAGGAGACCGGGGGTCCTACGTCGTCAGCAAGGGTAGATGGTGGAATGTTCCTTCTCAGAAAAATTGAATCATCACCCCCGCCATCAGAACACGAGGTTTATTTCACCTAGTCATTGGATATGATATGGTGAATCTAATGTCCGGCGAAGGGATTATGTTTGGGATCACCTGCCCGTTGGTGGTCTTCATTGTTGAGGATGCCATTGGCCGTAGCCGCGCCCGTGACGAAGAAGAAGAAGAAGAAGAAGAAGCACCCGCTGAGACTGGAAAGGTGAAACGCAGACCCTTGGCATTGACAAGCGCAATTGCTCGCATGGCAACCTGTCCCATGGAGCAAAGAAGATTCCAAATACGGGAAACTTGCCTAGCTTTGTTCAGCGATTGCCATGACCTTGGCTTCCACTTGCCGAGGGAAGAAAGAATTTGCTTGGATGGACTCAGATGACGAAGCTTCGGGCAGTGACGAAGAAGAGCGGGAGGAAGCACCTCCAAAAGAAGAGAGAAAGCAATCTAGCAGGCTCGCCTTGTTGCATTGGTCTGGTCCGCACGTAGATCCTGCATTTGAGATATTTAGAGAATAGCACCCCAAAAATTGTGACTACAAAATCAGGGCAACCAACCCATTCAACCCATATCCTGATTTTTGGAGGATAAGATTCGTGGCCTGAATCAACCTTGGATTTGATGGCTGATGGGCTTCAAGTGCTGCAGGCTATACCCCAATTACTATCCGCATACGTGTTTTTTAGATTTTTCTGTTAAAAGCTATTTTGAGGCAAATGTAGTGCGCACACACACACACGCCTACACACACACACATATATAAATACATATACATACACATAAATAATATATATATAGATATATGATATGCTTATACAGATACATACATAAAAACATCTACAGTATATATATATATATATCACATACATACATACACGCATGCATACATACATAGATACATACATACAGACAGACAGACAGTCAGACAGACAGAAAGACATACATATACATACATATACATACATATATATCTACATACATACATACATACATACAGACATACATACATTAAAAGACCGGAAATCACAGACAGACATACCGACATACAGACAGACAGACAGAAATACAGACAGACATACATAAGACAGACAGACAGACCGAGACAGACAGACAGACAGCACCATACATACATACATACATACATACATACATACATACATACATACATACATACATACATACATACATACATATACATTACATTACATACATACATACATACATACATACATACACACATACACACATACACACATACACACATACACACACGCACACACGCACACACGCACACACGCACACACGCACACACGCATACACGCATACACGCATACACGCATACACGCATACACGCATACACGCATACACGCATACACGCATACACGCATACACGCATACACGCATACACTCATACACGCATACACGCATACACGCATACACGCATACACGCATACACGCATACACGCATACACGCATACACGCATACACGCATACACGCATACACGCATACAGACATACAGACATACAGACATACAGACATACAAACATACAGACATACAGACATACCGACATACAGACATACATACATACATACATACGTACATACACACATACATACATACATACATGCATACATACGTGCGTACATACGTGCGTACATACGTGGGTACATACATACATACATACATACATACATACATACATACATACATACACACAGACATACATACATACATACATACATACACATACATACATACATACATACATACCAGCATACATACATACATACATACATACATACATACATACATACATACATACATACATACATACATACATACATACATACATACATACATACATACATACATACATACATACATACATACATACATACATACATACATACATATTATACGCACTTATAGATGGATACATATACACACATGGGAAGGGGGGGTCATTTGTCAACATACAGATGCCATGCATGGATGATCTGGGTACTGCTCTACTGCCAGACATCACTGGTGGCAGCTCTTTGTGTCAGGAAGGAGGACAGTGACGTTGAGGAGCGGAGAAGGGAAACAAGCGACTCGGAGGAGCGAGCGCAAAGCGGAGTGAAAAGATCCAGCAGTTGGTCCAATATGATCCCTCCAAAAAACATCATTATCATGTTTTGGGGATGGGGTGGCCCGTCATCAAAATGGTCCCACAAAAATAGTTCCTTTTTGCTATCAAACCATCCAATGTGGAAGGTTAATAGTTTTGAACCAATATTTGGTTTTGTTCCACAAATGGAGATTCCCAAAAAATAGTAGCATTTGTTGCATTTGTTTTAGTGGAGAAGATGAGAGTTTTCAAGCCGTGGGAGATTGGGAACTCGATTGACAAACCCATGCCGTGCACGATGTAGGATAGGATAGGATAGCCCTTCATCTTGCCTATCCCCACTTATTTTCCATCAATTTTTCACCTTTGCAGCTTCCAGCCATTTTTCCGATATTTGTTCTTGGGGGCAAGACACTGCCATGTTTAGTGAAATGCCTTGAAACAAAGAACCAAACCAATGACAGCAAACAGACCTCCAGTTCGGTTTAATGTCAACCAAGAGTTAACGCCCCTCCCGCCCCTCCCTGTTTACTAACATGGGGATTACTATCGATCTAATTTCATATTGCAGTAGTTGCTGGTTCGATGATATTGTTGGCTCCCCCCTCAACTGCTGCGCAGTGAATCCCTGTGAGGAGCCAGCCCAGTCGGTTCCCAACTGCGCTGCGGAAGTTCAATCCCTGGGGCAGATGATGCGCCTCATGGAGCATCCCGGCGCCGGCAGGGTGGCTTCAAATGGGCCGCAACCCCCAGGTGGATAACGGTTTGACATCACCGGGGAAAACAGCATGGAACTACCATCCTGAAGTCGTTTGTTTTTTTCTTTTGGGGGGGCGTGCTGTACATTTTATCCGGGTGAATTATAAAAACCTCACATTGTGACGTCACTGGAATGGATGGTTGAGAGGAAATCATCCCCGACATGGATTTATTGCAATTTCTCCAGAGACATCATGGTGTATCTACCCTTTGGTAGCTTTAACATAGCAATGGGTCCAACCTCAACTTGCAAGGTCATCTCTACCCTCCGGGTTAATCCCAACACGGCAAGGGGGAAATCCCAACTTGTAATGAACAAATGTTGGTCAACCATCTATGAAAATGCCTGGTTAAATTGCTGGAATGTACAATGATTGGGTTACATTGTTACATATTTTCACTTTTGACCATCCAGTTATTCCTAGGTCAGCATCTCTGTGGCAAGGTCGCATCCACTGAAAACGAATGGGGGTAGTCAACAACTGATTGATGGTTTCACATATTGTTCTATGTTCAACCATATTGGGGATGATGATTCCCAACAACATCAACAACTAGTATTTTAATGTATTATATATATATTTATGTTTTTATAACACATCCCTGGTTGGTATTGCACCAGACTTGAGCGGCATCCAGGAGTTGTGTTCCTTCAGCCCATTTCAGCCCTGAGGTCCTGGCAGCGTCAGCGTGGGCGGATCCTGCGGTTGCCAATGGCTGAGCTGTCACAGGTTTGTCAAGCCTGTGCACGTGTGAAGTATTTCGATTCCCAAAGCTTCGCAGATATCATCGCTGCTGTCAAGGCCGAAAATTTTCTCAATGAAGAGACTAACTGACTCCTGGGATCTGGGGGTTGGGTGGGAGGAGGAGGAGTAGATGATCTACATGAATCATGATTTTCTACTGGTATTCATCTAGCAGTCCAAAAAAATTGCCAGGAGCACGAGCTCAATGTCAACCCTGGAGTCATACAACCCATAGTTCACTATTGTCAGGTCCCAAAAGCAGTTTTCCTATATTTGTAGCCATGGATGGTAGCCCGCAACATTATAGTAGACAGATCTAAGCTGTTTTCTCTCACCCAGAATTCACATCTTTTCCGAGCTTCCCTGTGAGGTGCATCTTCGCAGCTATGTTCAGCTGAAGGCTGATGATGTTGGAGGTGTGCTCAGCGGCCTCGCAGATGTCAATGCGTACGAAACTTGACCATCCGACCAGTCTGGGGGGAATGTCAGTTGTCCAGAAATGATTTACCCATGATTTACGCATGATTTACCCCATTTACTGTATTTTTTGGCGGTTTGAATGGTTTTAATATGGTTTAATGGGACAATGGACCGTAATGTTATGGCAATAGCTGCTATGCAACCTGGGCCGGCCAGCGCTGTTGGTTTGGTGGGATCATGACTAATTGCTGGATGCTGCTTTTTGCCCCTTTGCGCCTTGTTACACTTTCAATGGAGGATCTCCCACACCAGAGCTTTTGCGGGGGGGTAGGGACAGCAGAGGTTGGTCTAAGGTAAAAAGGGCCGCTGCTCCCCTCTTCTTCACTTGGAGATTGACCACATGTGTCCATTATCGAGCTTGTATTGGCCCTAGTATTGCGGACATTCCAGAAATCAATCCAAAGCATCGGAAAATTGTCACCAAATCTCCCAAAATCACACGAAACGATTGTTGGCATCCGAAAAATCACCTAACAAGAATCTTCCATATTTTTTTATTGTGACAACAGGTCCCCTTCTTTTTTGATCTTCCAAATACCTCCGGTCATTCTCCTCAGCCTTTCAGCCCAGCCTGGTCCCGAGCCCCCAGGACAAGGAGGTCTTTGACCTGGCCGCCTCAGCGATGAACCGCACGGCGGGGCACCTCCAGCGTCCAGCGCGGAAGGTGATCCTGGACGCTTTTAAAAAGGCGCGCGGAGGGAGCAGGAGAGAGTTGGGGTCGAAAAGGGAAGATGCTTCAATGAATGGGAAGATCTATGATATATATATATGTATATCCGCTGATATCTGCAGTACAGTATGGAATTGTATAATATATAGTATACAGTACAGTATATGCATATAATTCGATAATTAGTATACATACTTACATAGAGATGAATGATGATGAATGTATTTTGCAAGATCGTAAGCGAATGCGAGGAACCATAAAAGCTCCGGAGAGGGGCGGAGAATGTCGGACCATTTCAGAGGAAGCATTGGAATTTCCAACTTGGCAATGATCGAAGCTTCCTGTGTCAAGGATTCAATCCAGCACATGATCATCGGCTACCCTCTGGTAAACTAACATAACTATGGAAAATCACCATTTTTAATGGGAAAATCCACTATAAATGGCAATTTTCAATAGCTATGTTAGTTTACCAGAGGGTACCTTCCCCAAAGTTGGCTTTCGTTTCCCCCAAAAATCGACCCAGCCACACCCCCGGACCCCCTGGATCCAGGTGAATCATCGATCAAATTCACTCAGAGAGATGTCAGAACACGAGGCAAAAGCTCGCTATGATGAAAGATGCTCAGAGGCTGGGGGGGTTCACAATGCTGTCCGGAACAGGCCTCCATGGGATCACATGGGCAAATTGAATCAAATTGAATGAGCAAATGGGGTCTCCGGGACTGGTGTAAAGCATAAGGATCATGGTAGATGCTATAGTGACACTTCAAGTCTGGCTTTTTGGATCTTTTTGGCATCATTTTCCCATTCCCAATGCGGTGGCAGGTTGCTGCTAGTTGGCAGCGCCCTGGCTCCACGTCCACCACCTGGCGAGGCTTCGGCTAGACCCGTGGCGCAGTGGAAGAAAATGCGCGCCATGGGACTCGGCTGCGGAAATTATTGGGCCAGATTTCAGCCCAAAAGAAGATAAAGAAGTGGTGCAGTCAGAAAAGGATGTTTTTTTGTGGTTCCGGTTTTTGGGGTGCATTTTTGTGATGCTTACCCTCCAGTGGTCCAGAAAATTAACATAGACCCTGCCAGATAAGTGCTTGGAAGATGAGTGTTCACTAAAAACTTACCGTTTTCAGGGTTATGTTAATTTACAGCAGGGTATGTTAATTTACAGCAGGGTAAACATCCAAAAATCCTCCACTAGCCATGGTTTATTTTTTTCACATTTTTTTTAACGCATTTTTTCTTAGGATTGACCATGCTTCATCCATGAAAAAACCATTGAGCCAAGGTGGGACGAGTCGGAGAAGAGAAAGAAAGAAGAAAGAATATCAGAGAAGAGAAAGACTCAGAAGAAAGAAGATCAAGGTGCGCGAAAAGGTAGGAAAGTCGCGAAACACAGTGTTTTTCCAAGGATTAGTGGCTCCGGAGGGTCGAAAAGTAGATTCACTAAAGTGACGGGTGCGGAGCCATCTGGTCGTATGAGAGATCAAGACTTGCGCGCCGCTGTGGCGTGAAGCACGCTTCGAAGTCAAAATGAAGAAAGCACCTCGTGCTCGGAGCATCTCGGTGCGCTCTTGGAAGTTGAGATGTTGAAAAATTGCACGCCGTTGTGGCGCGAAGCACATTTCGATGTGTCAGCCACACAACATGTTCGGACCACTTTTGGAGGTGGATGTTGAAAAAGTGCACGCCGTTGTGGCGCGAAGCAGCTTTCGAATTGAACATGTTAAAAGCATTTAAAAGCACCACATGTTCAGACCACTTTTGGAGGTTGAGATGTCAAAAAGGTGCACGCTGTTGTGGCGCGAAGCACATGTCGAAGTGAAAAGCGTTAAGGAAACTGACGATCTCGTACCACCTTTGGATGTTGAGATGTCGGCTCTACGCTCTACACTGCACCACACTACAACTACAACTCCACGAGCTACAACCACAGCTACAACTACAGCTGCAGCCACAGACACAACTACAGCTGGAACTAAAACTGCAACTACATTGCAAGTACAACTGCCGCTGCGACTACAATTGCAACTGCGACTCCAAACTCCACTACACTTAGCTTCGACTACACTACATTACACTAGAATATACACCGCACCAGAACTACAGCTACAACTGCGCTGCTACTACTACAACTACAGCTACATTCATCTACAACTACACTGCACCATACTGGAGATAGATAGACAGAGGGAGAGGTAGAGCACTGAGAGAAGGTGACAGAGAGAGTTAGAGAGAGTTAGAGAGAGTTAGAGAGAGTTAGAGAGAGAGAGAGAGAGAGAGCGAGAGAGAGAGAGAGAGAGAGTTGAGAGAGAGAGAGAGAGGGAGAGGGAGAGGGAGAGGGAGAGGGAGAGCGAGAGGGAGAGGGAGAGACAGGGAGAGACCGAGAGAGAGAGAGAGGGAGAGGGAGGGAGGGAGAGAGAGAGAGAGAGTGAGAGAGAGAGAGAGAGAGAGAAAGAGAGAAAGAGAGAGGGAGAGACTCAGAGCCTCAGAGCCTCAACTGTCTTTCGATCTATCAGAGGGTTCGCCTTGCCATCCATGCAGAACAACATTTTACTTCTCCTATCGCTTCTTCTCTTTGAAACTTCCGCCACAGCCTTGTGCGGAAATAGTGGTAATCCCTACAGTTGAAAGGATGAAACCAGATGAAACCCCGCCCACCCCCCGAATTAAGTATAATCACGTGATGTACGGTGACAAATTTGTAAATATGTGTGAGATGATGAAACCCGATCCAAACCGCCATGTGTATAACCGAGTGGTATTTGTCAGACCCAAATGGTATCTGACACATATTTTCACACATACATATATATATATACACATACACATATATTTTTGCACATACATACATACCAACGAAATATAATCAGTATATTCGTTTAATTAAATCTCAGGTCCAGAAGTTTTTTCCCCTGTGAAATCGGAGCCTCTAACTTCCCGCAGGACGCGCCACTGGACCTCGCCACCGAGGTCTTTGGGCGGCCATTTTGGGTCCCAGGTGGTACACCAGTTTGTTTGGATGCTGGTATGTCTGGCGGCCTACGATTTTAGATTAGTCAGGTTTAGTAGCAACTTGATATTTGAAGTACCCTATAGCCAATCGTGGTGGTGGTGGTGGTGGTGGTTTTCAGCCGCTGAAAAAACACCGTATTCCCGTGACAGGCATTCTACCCATCACGTTCCACCGCCATCGAAAAGCGCCCGGAACTTGACTCGTGCAGAAGTTACGCACGCCAGCATTCAACCAGCGATGCAAAAGTAGTGGAAATTAGGCAACATAGACGTCGATGTGGTAAAACCCAATTTATGATGGTTAGGACTGCTTCATTTTTGGTAAAAAAATGGGGTGGTTTATTACTGCGTTTGCCATTTCAACACGGTTTTATGCAGGAACTTCTGGCCTCCAGCAGTATGTCTTTGCTGAGGTCTTGGAGAGCTGAGCGCCATGGCTCCCAGTACCTGGGATTGACACGCGCCCAGTTCTGAACTTCTGAATGGCGGGCTGGTAGGTTCAAACAGAATATTAACATACCCAGTATTGCCATGTATTGTAATGTTTTACCATGTATTACAATTATTACAACCATGACCATGTATTAGAATATCTTAGCATTAATTCTGCTTTTTGTCTGATGTCTTAGCATGAATTTATACTAGCTACATTTCAATAATAATTGGTTTAAGGGTAAATTTTAACCGGAAACCATAGATTTCCCCACTAAATATGGGGGGTTTTCTTGTAAACTTCCCCCTAGACCAATCCATTGAACAATGGATTTTTACACCATTCATCCAGCTGCAGGCACCCTAGCAGAGGAGGTGCGGCAGAACTTCCAGCGGCTGCACGGCCAGCGGATCCGGGGCATCCGATGGGATCGCTATGACGCGGAGGGCCAGTTCCTGTGGCATGTCCTTGGCATGAGAAAAACATATGGAAAAATGGGATAAGCTTGGGGGTTATACGGGTTATATGTACATATACTATAAATAAGAGAACAAAAAATATACAATATGTATATAGGATTTTTCAGGATTTCAGATGGTTTGCCCTAAATCATCCTGAATCCACTGGTTCAGGAGAGTCACACTTTCCCCATAAAGATTGCAATGAGTGCAGCTTTCTACTAAATTTTTGGACAGGCCCGCATGAGATCACCTGGGTGTAAAATTGTTGTAGAATACTGATACATATTGACAATTTTCAAAACAATCATGGATAGATTGCATGCAAACCGTCATAAACTGAGAAGGGGCGAAGTGTGGGGATATCATTTGATGACCTGGTCGCGCTAGTGCTCCCAAAGGCAGAGCCAGCTGAACCTGAGGCAATCACCAAAAGAGGCCTCGCCTGCTGGTGAGAAGGGCACTGAAAGCGAATCCAGTGCTGAAGCAGCTCGTTCCAAAGTATACCACTGGTTTCAATGATGGTTTACGCTCGGCTTCTTTTCATTATTTGTAATTCTGAGAAGTTCCGAGATTCGGGTTCATTTTCAGCGGGCGGGGCTCTCCAAATTCACACTTTCGCATGCGATTGCTGGAACCTGACCTGCCTTCGAGGATGCGTCTAAAGTTGGAAATGGACGACGAGTGCTTTGGACCAATGCCGGCATCGAAGCAACATGTCAAGCAAGTATAGTTGGGCGTTGCACATTGGCTTTGCAAGCCGTCAAGTTGTACCAACCTTGATGAATTGGAGTGGCTTATCCATGTTAGTTGCTATATGTTGCTATTTAACTCTGTTTAAAATTGTTTACATGGTACGCCCCAAGGATCTCCAGGATCAACAGACCAAGCTGACATACCCGCCAGGTGGCGGGTGAAGACCGGCAGCTGGCTGCTGCTGCGGGCGCCATTGGAGGTCGCGCACTGGCAGCGGCGTTCCGGCTGCTGTGTGGCTTGGCGGGACAGTTGGCATTTGACATTAAGAATGGCCATCCATTCTTTGGGGGGGTACTTTTTGGAGGGGTACTCTGTATGGTATTGTAGCCGTTAAAATGGAAAGTCCACATTTTCGGTAGGTGAATCTGCTACAACATGCTACAACCAACTAGTCGCTAGGGAATTGGGCAATGCCGCAACATTGAGCATGACTCCATACCGACCTGCAGCCTGCTCAGGCGAGGACTACAACTCTGCAGGGCTGCCAGATTTGTTGCCACTGGGCTGCTGATGGTACGAGACATCTTCGGCTGGTTGCAGCCGTCCCAGGGAATTTTCAAGGATTTGAAGGATTTCGAAGGTCAATGGTCAATGGTATTCAATGGTAGAATCTGGTAAAACCAAGTTTTCGTGTAGATTTCATAAATTTTCCCTCAATTTTTCCTGAGCAGATCAATCCCGCAAAGCTGCCCAGTCGGCTACTCGTTGCGAGGCTGTGGTCCTGGCATTTGACGTCTGCACCCCGTGCGCGCTTTGTGGAAGTGAAGAGCGAGCGGGACACATTGGCCAGAAGGTGAGGTTTGTGAAGGGAAGTCCACTGGATCCTTTGGGATTGGCTCAAAATCGTGATTTAGATTGGATTATTGATGGCTTATATATATATATATAAATTAATAAATAACTATACATAATATATATATATATAATTAGTTGATTATAGTTGCAGAGCGCCAATTTTGATATTAATCGTGATTTGATTTGTCAACCTGTATCGGGGGGGAACCCCCAAATTAATAGTCACTCGTTTCATCCGGTTGACATTACTCCCAAGACTGGATCGTTCGTATTGTTGACACCGAACAGGACCAGTTTTATGGGTCCCATAGCCATACAAGTGGTTGGTGTTCTCAAAAACTCAGTCTTGTCCATCCGCATTGAAACGAGAATCCCATATGATCCATTGGTGTTTACGTGTATATAAATATATATATATAATTATAAACAAATACACACGCACACACACACATATATATATATATGATAGACATAATAAACACACACACATCTATCTATCTATCTATATATATATATATTACGTGTGCACTTACTTATATATATATATGCATGCATACACACACACATATATATATAGTACAATCAATACATACATATATATATATATAGAAATACATTGAATTGATTTTTAAATACACACACATACATACACATATACACACACATACATACACATACACACACACATACAGACATATACAGACATACACGTACAAACACATACATACAAATACATACACATACATACACATACATATACATACACATACATACACATACATATACATACACATACATACACATACATACATACATACACATACATACACATACATACACATACATACACATACATACACATACATACACATACATACACATACATACACATACATACACATACATACACATACATACACATACATACACATACATACACATACATACGCATACATACGCATACATACGCATACATACATACACACACACACATACATACATACATACATACATACATACATACACATACCCATACACGTACACATACATATACATATGCATATACATACATACATACAGACAGACTGATTGACTGACTGACAGACATACATACATACACATACCCACATATATAAACATACACACAAGCACGCACGCACAATATATATATATATATATACATATACGCACACACGCACACACACACACACATATACATATATATATATAGATGTATGTGCGCAGATAAATGAACGAATGAACAGATAAGTAAATACCACGCACACACACAATCATATTATATATATAGTATATCATGTGCAGATGCAAGGCAGTTGTAACCATGTGCCGTGCCAATTTCAGACATCATCCATGGGCCACTTCAGGCAGCGGCTCTGGCTTTCCACCCTACGAGGTTCTGGTGCGGAAGCGGAGGCCCATGGTGTCAGAAAAGCTAGGGCTTGGAGGATGGGCCCACCCCGACAGCGTCCTGCAGGTGTGTCATGTGCGAGATAATCCAGTCGAGGAGAGCCGCGTGGTGTTGCCCTCCCCCCAAAAAGTGAAGGATTCGCGCCATTACAGATGTCAGGTTGAGAGGAGATTCAGGGCAGTTGGAACTCAAAAATGATGCCCGCTTAAATTCGAGTATTGTATATTGCTCAGCCGGTTTGCAAATGACAGACCCATTTTGTTTGGTTTGTGGAGGAGGATTTCCAAAGCAAACTTCGGCGCCGGAAACGAGCTGCTAGTGATGGAAGCAGTGAGGGCTTTTGAGTGCAGGGTTGGGGTGCACTCGGCTAAGCCAAGCCACTGCAGCTGCCAGGGGCGACTGCACAACTCTGCACTGAGTCATACCCACTCTATTGTTGCAGCAACCGAATAATGAATAGTGAACCACCCCCAACTTGCGAAGACTTTTGATTAGGAGGGTGTCAAAACCCAAAGGTGATCCTTTTTGGGTGGTTTTTTACATGAATCGTTTTTGGCTTGGCAGGTGTTGTGAAAGCAATTCTGTACTGGTCTGCGTGCCGAAAAACTGTACATACGATGAGTTGGGGTCCCCGCCGGAGTGTTGCAGAAAAAGGCACCAGACCGGCGTCAAAGCGCTGAGCACACCTGGGTGACTGTCGCCTAGAGACCATACACCATAGCCATAGCCATCCATAGCCTAAGTTTGGTGCGTTGCTACTCACTGGGTGAACCTGAGGTTGAGAAGGAGATACCTGCATGGGAAGCCGCAGCCTTAAGATATGTTTGGCCACTCCTTATGTGTTTTGCATGTCATAAGCAAACAATTCCACCATGGGTATGAGAATCCCCACTCGGGACAGAACATGTCGGGAAACTGCTGGACAATTCCAAAATGCAGGATTTCCAATGGTCAAATGGTAATTTTTTGGATTTTGCAGAGGGTCAGATCTTGATTCTAACAATTTTCTGAGCTAATTTTCAGCAATTTTTGAGCTCATCTGCTGTTTCAATCCCAAAATTTCTGCCCTTTCTGCTGGGCTTCAGGTCATCGTGGGCCGCACGTTGGACGTGCTGCGAACTACGGCTGCGGAAGGAACTCCTGGTGCCCCGACCGGGTGATGGGGTCTATGGCGGAAGTAAGGATTTTCCAGGGTATTTTCTTGGGATATAGTGGGGATACCTTATGGGATATATGACCAAGTATAACCCACCATATTTGGGTGTGTGTGACAATGGGAATTTACCCCTGAGAGGGAACATGATGATTCACCAGAGGATTTGGGGTTATTTTATTTTCAGACACACGCATGTAGTCATTCGAGGGCCACCCAGCAGAAAGATAGAAAGACCTGGCACAAGCCGTGGGAAGGAGTGCTGCCTAAGAGACATACCATCAGGAAGGTCACTTCTCTAGTTCGACCATGTCTGGGCTGCAGTTTTGTCTCCGAAATGAGAAAATTCCTGATGGCCACACGATACCTCTCCTGCCCTGGCCTTGTGGCGTACCAACTCAGGCCGGTCGAAACCTTTCCGCAACCTCATCACAGACAGGGACTGCCATGGGAATCATGGGAATGCACTGCGCTTTGAACTGGGATTGGGCTCATGCAAACTTCCAGAACGTGCACAGAAAATTGTACACACATGTATGATATGTAATTATACTATATTATACTATAGTAAAAGATATACTACTACGTATATTATTGAGATTGTGATTTCATTTGGTCATTTTTTTTTTGGTAAGATTGAAGCCACGAAACAGTTGGGTGTTCAGACAGCTGGAGGATGGAACGACCAACAACTACTGCGACCGCTATGCCTCCAGCGTTCAGCCGGCAGCCTAGTCACACATATTTATGGAGAGAGTCACACATCCACACGACATATACATGGAGATGCATATGTATCTATGTATCTATGTATCTATGTATCTATGTATCTATGTATCTATGTACCTATGTATCTATGTATCTATGTATCTATGTATCTATGTATCTATGTATCTATGTATCTATGTGTCTATGTATCTATGTATCTATGTATCTATGTATCTATGTATCTATGTGTCTATGTATCTATCTATCTATCTATGTATGTATCTATGTATCTATGTATCTATCTATCTACCTATCTATCTATCTATCCATCCTATCTATCTATCTATCTATCTATCTATCTTACTTATTCTATCAGTTTATCTATTTATGCGTGTATATGTACACACACATATATATATATACACATCCGTATATATGTATATATATATATATGTGTGTATGTATATGTATATCTATACGCACCGGTGTACATATGTACGTATATACGTATATACACATGCAAATGCGCACACACACACATATATATATACACGTATATTTGCACAGCTATGTGTGTGTATGTGTGAACTCTGTGTGAACGGTATGGATCTGGTTGTTTCAGCGAAGGGTCTAGCAGCTTTCCGATTTCCAAGGTCTGCATACAATGCGGCTTGGCTCTCGAACTTCTCTCGGCACTGCGTGGACAATGCCGTGCCATGGCTGCGGACTTCACAGTCTTCGGAGTTCACAAGGGCCCAAGGAAATAGCTCTGACCCCCTTGCGATATATAGATGTTTATATAGTGTATCCTTGCCAGTACAGTATCATCTAATCATATACAACCAACGATGGTATACAGCATCTTTTTTTCGATGGGTTGTCCTTTGACCCGTGAAGCATCCAGTAACCCAGTAGCCAAAAATCACAATATATCCAATGTACTGTCGATTGTAGGCACGGCGGTTGTGACCATCATCTATTGGCTAATGTTGATCGCCACTCCTATATATATTTCGTTACTTCATACTATCCTCATTGTTTCTAGTTACTCAAATCCCCATGGCATTTACTTATCCTTAAGACAACATATCCCACCATTTTCCGCCTTAACAGTGTCTTTTGGTTTCCATCCCGATTTTCTTGGGATATCCTCTATGTATATATTTATAAACATATATAACTAAGATTTAATTTACAATATGTATATATATATAATATCACCCCTGCATAGCTCCATACAGTATGCCTGCAGCTGAGGTCTTCATCACGGCAGCTCCTCTGGGAGGTCGTCCAAGTGCGGAAGGATTGATGGAGCTCTGTGGGGGCCCTGAGACCGGCCCAGCTTCATGGCTTCGGTTAATATAATGGTTATAATGGTTATAATGGTTACTGTAAATGGTGGACCATGATTATGGTTCATATAATGGCTAATAATGGTTGAGGATGGATGATGACGGATTATGGTCTGATTCCGATGGACACGAATGGTGAGATACTGGGGTCACAAATCGGGATATTTCATGGGATATCTCATGGTGCTCCGGCAATCAAATGTGGCCCCGAACTATACAGAGTTTTTTTTTTTTTGTGGGAATATCATTGAACGAAATGGAGGATTTTCTATTGCCATGTTTGGTCATAGCGGTTGATAATGGTGAATCATGGGTTCACAATGGTTCATCATTGAATCACATACTGGGAAAGAATAGGGACGCCCCAACCCGGACGTTGCTCCACATTTACAATCGTCATGATCATGATCATCATCATCATCATCATCATCATCACCATCACCATCACCATCATCATAATTATTATCTTTATTTTCATGAGGGGTCAAAATCCGCCACCCCCTCTGAACAATATGTTGATTGGGGTGAAAAACATAAACTATATCTCCATGAGGGATCAAATTTCGCCACCCCCTATGAGCAATATGTTGGTTGAGGTATATAATAACATCAACTTTATCTTCATGAGGGATCAAATTTCGCCACCCCCTATGAACAATATGTTGGTTGGCGTAATAACATCAACTTTATCTTCATGAGGGATCAAAATTTGCCACTCCCTATGAACAATATGTTGACTGGGGTAATAACATCAACTTTATCTTCATGAGTTTGAAAATTCGCCACCCCCCAAGAACAATATGTTGATTGGGGTAATACTCGTAACATCAACTTTATCTTCATAAGGGATCAAAATTCGCCACCCCCTATAAGCAATGTGTTGATTGGGGTAGTAACATCATCTTTATCTTCATAAGGGATCAAAATTCGCCACCCCCTATGAACTTTTGATTGGGGTAATAACATCATCTTTATCTTCATGGCCATCTGAAGTCAGACGCGGAGCAACGTCAGGGTTGCAGCGAATAGGGATTTCACCATCAACAAAAAGGATTCAGTCGGGATTGAATGATGAAATAATGGCTTGAGAATTGTTAGTAATTAATTTGAATTGTTGATTCATAACAATTGACAATGGATAATGGGATACAGTACTCAATGGATCCCAATGGGATATGAGAATACTTAATGGGATATTTTAAGGGTGTACCCTCCTGTGTCAGCCAACATGACTGGGGAATCCCCAAACCAAAGGAAGGTTTTTCAGCTAACCATGTTTCATTATCAGAGGATAGTCATTCCATGTCATTCCGAAGTAGATAGAAACTCCAGAATTTTCAGTGATAGTCTAATTTTGGCACCATACGGCCAACATGTCTGAATCCCTTTCCATGTCCGTGCGTGTCGACGACAGGACTCGATCGTGTGTGGCATGGAAAAACAACCAATTTTGAGGATTTCTGATGGACTTTCCACATCTTATCTCTTCTCCATGATGACCACGAAGATGGCTGGTGTTTTTGTTTACCTAAAACCATTTGGGGCAATCATGTTGAACCATGACCATCCACAATGAGCCTGGACTGGATAAAATAACCCCGAGTTTCAGTACGTGACACCTCCTTGCCCTCGTGCCCCTTTAGGTGTTGCACCCAGAGGTTATTTCATCTACACCGGTCGGGAGTCCCAAAGGGTTCCTTAAAGGGTCCCCTTAAAGGGTCCCCTTAAAGGGTCCCCTTAAAGGGTCCCCTTAAAGGGTCCCCTTAAAGGGTCCCGGGGTCTTCAAGTTCTAGATTCGGTGTGATGATCTGTGATGGTGTGTCATCATTTCCAGCAAAAAACTGTGGGGGTGTACGAGCTGTGTGGGAGCCAAAATCCAGGCTCCAAAGGACGGGAGTACTACAGTGAACAGACCTCAGCACCAGGGAGGCTTAGGGCAGTTCCAAGAATTGGTGATTGACCCATGAAACAATAATTTTCATAGGGACAATTATCATTAACCAGCAAATCTGGGTGTGCGCTATTTTCAGACAAACCCAAATAGATGGAACAAGTACTGGAAAATGCTCATGTGTTGAATCGATACTGGCGGCTGAACGTCTAGATGTGGACCTGCGTGTGGTCCGCAAGTGGCAGATATGGTAGGCATGGTTCAAAATGTAGTAAGCCCAAGAATTGAACATTGGAGGGGCATTTCCTACCATTTGGATCCTTTTGCATGGGCATTCAAGCCCATACTACAAGAAGGGGACGTATGGTTTTGGGTTTACCTTGTGTCATCCCACAACCCGCGATTCGAGTCACCACCAGGATCCGTACAATTCTGGCTATAGAGTTGCCCAAAAATTTTGGTATTCTCCATTCACTGGCATCGTGTGTTTTTCATGGTTTTTCCTCCCAACATGGGACATGAAGATTCCAGGATAGCCATGGCGATTTCAAACCTGCTAAACATGATATGGAACGGGGATGAATGGGGTATCAGCACTGAGGATGCGACCCAGCAGCTTTTGGAGGCAGAAGAACTGCCCAAAGAGTCTGGGGGCCCAGAGAAGTCGCCGCTACGAACTGGGAACAAGCGCCGGGGGCCGGGGTTTAACAAGAGATGTGAATCATTGATTTGAGTTGACATTTTTGTTCGGTTCTTTTCCGGAAAGGGTAGGGGAAAAAGAGAAGATTGAATGGGATTTCATGGCGCTGAAGCAAAGGTTTCTTCAGATGTTAAAGACTACAGCTGAGTATTTGAGCCGGACAACTGGAGAAAAACGGAAAACCAGCTCAAATGACATATTTTAACATCATTGAACCCCATGATTAGATCATTTAAAAACACATGAAGCATTGCTGAAGCATATGAAGATTCAGCCTTCGCCAGGCAGCGAGAGCTGGTGGAGGCGGATACAAGACATGTAGCAACATGTGGCATGTGCAATTAAAGACACCTGGAGTTGTGAGGTGCTTTTGAGTTTCCCAAATATGGCTACAGATAGAATTGTAAGGATATGTGTATGTAAATATACATGCATACATGCATGCATGCATGCATGCATACGTACGTACGTACGTACGTACATACATACATACATACATAAATACATACACACATACACACGTACACACGTACACACCTACACACGTACGTACATACACACATACACACACACACACACGTACACACACACACAGACATATGTACATACGTACGTACGTACATACACACTCACAGACATACATACGTTCGTACGTACGTACGAAGTATAAATCTGCGTGTGCCCCTATGGGCAAGCACATGCATGTACATGTACGCATACGGAGTTTGTGAATGTGCTGGATCAATGATGAGCATGAACTGTATACCACACATTCGCGCACACACGCGCGCAAATGCACACTTGCCTGCACTTTAAGAGCCGTCAAACTTTCCGTGCAAACAGCCGTTTATCATGTTTTATCCATGCCTGCATGAGAGGCACTTTAAGCAGAAATTTCGGAGTGCGGTAATGTCTTAGATAAAATCATGTTTTGATAATAATATATGCAGGTTTGTTTGCTCTGTCAGGAGCTTCATCGCCGAATCCTGGCTCTGTGCCAGCAGCCGGGCTGCCCAGCTTTGTGATCTTTGTGGTCACACCCCCAATATATGGGGTTTGGTATCAACATTTGCCACCTCCTGTCAACACCAAGGCCTGGCAACACCAAGTTCCTGGGCATCGGTTCCGGACTTCAGCGAAAGTTTGGGGAGGTGCGGCCGCTTGAAATCCATGGCAGTGCGCAGTGCTTGTCAGGGACATGTCACCTGAATTTGGCAGGTGACCATGGCCAGAAATGACCCTGTCAGTGGCTGAGTGTTTAATCCAGAATTAAAGACCTGCCAGTGTACTAAGGGGGGTACCAAATTTTAATGATAGTGATAAAATATCTCTACTTTGGGGGGTACATCCCTCAAGGGAAACTGGAAGAGGCAAACCTTTCATCCAATGCCAACTATATAATCCTTTCTTGCATGAAAACGGTCAAAATTATTTGCACTATATTTGATAACATGCAACACATCTATTTTCCTATATGGGGGTTTTCATAAATGGGCTACCCAATAGCTGGATGGTTTATTATTGAGAAAATGCTACTACTACTAAAATGGATGATTTCGGGGTCCCCTATGGAAATCCACGATCCCAGGCTGGCACTGTCCCAGAGCCTGAGAGCCGGCGTTTCATGGCAGCTGTGCGCAGGGTGGGGCTCCCCAGGTCCGGCATTTCATGAAAGCCTATTTTGTTGAAATTTGAGCGTCTTAGGGTAACATCGTTTTGAACCTGTTGTAACTCTAGTTTTTCTACGTGGCATTTTTCCATGGGGGGCTAGTTTTTTTTGGTTTTCCAGCCTGGCTTTGTGGCTTTTGTGGCTTCTGTGGCTTTTGTGGCTTTTGTGGGTGTGTGGCTTTTGTGGATTTTGTGGCTTTTGTGGCTGTTGTGGCTTTACCATGCTTTACCTATCTATCTATCTATCTAACCTAATCTAATATAATCTAGTCTATATAATCTAATCTAATTTAATTTAGTCTAATCTAATCTAATCTATCTAGTCTATCTAGTCTAATCTAATCTATCTAGTCTATCTAGTCTATCTAGTCTATCTAGTCTATCTAGTCTATCTAGTCTATCTAGTCCTATCCATCTCTATCCATATATCCATCCATCCATCTATCCATCCATCTATCCATCTATCCACCTATCCATCTATCCACCTATCCATCTATCCACCCATCTATCTATCTATCTATCCATCTATCTATCGATCTATCTATCTATCTATCTATCTATCTATCTATCTATCTATCTATCTATCTTTATATGCACACCTTGTATCCCTACATGTACCTTAATCCAACCCTCAAAAGACTTTAAATAGACCCTAAACCAACCCTAAATAGCCCAAAATAATCCTAAATAAGCCCTAAACCAACCCTAAAAAAAACCTTAAATAAACCTTGAACTAACCCTAAAGAAACCTTAAACCAACCCGACATAACCAACCCTAGTAAACCCTAAATAAATCTTAACCTAAATAACCCTAAACAACCCCTAAATAAACCCTAAACCAACCCTAAACCAAACCTAAACAACCCTAAATAACCCTGAATAAACCCTAAACCAACTCTAAATAAACCATAAACCAACCCTAAATAAACCCTAAACCAACGCTGAATAAACCCTAAACCAACCCTAAACCAAACCTAAACAACCCTAAACCAACCATAAACCAACCCTAAATAAACCCCAAACCAACCCCAAATAAATCTACGCCACGCCTAAATAACCCTAAATGAACCCTAAACCAACGCTAAATAAACACTAAACCAACCCTAAATAAACAATAAACCAACCCTAAATAACCCTAAATAAACCCTAAACCAACCTTAAATAAACCAAACCATAAAAACCAACCCTAAATAAACCTAAACCATCCCTAAATAACTCTGGATAAACCCTAAACCAACACACAAAATAACGTTAAACCAACCCTAAGCCAACCCTAAATAAACCCTAAAACAACCCTAAACCAATCCTAAATGACTTTAAACCAACCCTAAACCAACCCTAAATAAACCCTAAACCAACCAACACTATGATAGCATCCAATGCCACTATTTAGACCCAACACGGTTCAACCTATATTCTACATGTTCACCAGGTGCATGTTATGCATGGAAAAATCGATTGAAACCATGCAAAAATCAATTGAACCCATGGCCAACTCAATGAAAACTATGGAAAAATCGATGAACGCTTTGGGTAAATCAATGAACACCATGGAAAAATCGATGAACAGTGCAAATGGCAAATTTTAGCTCCAAATTCAGCAAAGTACAGGTTTTTGCTCAAAATGTAGCAAATAGCAAGGAAAAGTGCCCCAGACTGAAAAACGAAAAAACATTCCCAAAAAAACAAAAACAAATCTGAAAGAAAATATTCACCCTTTTACCATCAGCTGAAGATCTTTGTTTTCGCTGGCGCCTGAGGTAAAAGAAGAATTAGATCCAGATGGCACAGGCGAATAAGCAGTTGGGACAGCGGGAGTGTCCCAAACTCGCAGCATTAAAGACTCTGAGCTATCATCGAGCTATCTCATGTGTCAACCTAGGCCAAAAGGAAGCTGAAATGAAATGTTCGGACAGAATTGCAACATTTGATTTAGTGCAATCTCTGAGCTCGATTCCAATCTGCCAGGACTCGATTTGCATGACACTGGTTGCTTTCTCAGTGTTGAAGTGCCAGGGGCAAACGAACAGCTGTGGCATCTTTGTATCCTGATAGATCGTGATAGATCTTATGTAAAATTTTAAAGTCCCTCACTCATTGCTATTCATTCGAAGAGGAACCGTAGGCAGCCCCAAGGCACAGATATGGAGATCTTCCCTCGCGTCATGGGTCGACAGCTCAGCTTTTGCAGGTGTTTAGCACAGGGGCAGATATGTCAGGTTGGTTTAACATCTCCCGTTAATGCCATTATCATTTTTGAAAACCCATGGATAAATGGCCAGGTGTCCCATGATCATTGCACCCCCATTGATATCCTTTAGGCGGGCGGCCGTCCTTTGACAAGGGCGATGGCGTTCAACGCTTGGACACGATCTAAGCCTGGGAGGAAGATGCCTGGGCAATCCCCCAAGACTGGACACGGATAGCTGGGAATATCATATACCATCTGGTAAACCAACATAACTGATGGGAAAATCACCATATTTCATGGGAAAAACCACTATTTCTATGGCCATTTTCAATAGCTATGTTAATTTACCAGAGGGTATCAATTCTATCAATGGGGGATGTTCCATGATGTCCCACTGCCATCTTTGATTCGCGGAAGGTAGCCTCAAGAATCGAATATGTTCCGTCGAGAGGCAATTGACAGTTTCTGCAACCGACAGAGGCCCCGCAGCCACTTTACTCGTCAATCATGATTCGTGCTTCCCTGCATACTGCAGCTGCAATTTAAGCAGGTGGGGCTCAGCATTGATCCAGGCTGAAAAAGTACCATGATGTAATTTCCAATTGATTTCCATTGATTTCAGAAAGCTGCATGGCTCAGGTTTCTCAATGCGGCTATGCTTCCGACCTTGATTGCCATATTGGCCTGGTCACCCACAAGTTCATATTTGCTTGTGTCTAGTGAGTGATTGAGTCGAAGATTCCTTGGGTACTTTTTGCAACGCCTTGCCTTTCGCAGAGATTCACCCAAGCAACTCCGCAAAAAGGAAAGGGTTACACTGTTACACTGACACAAGCAAAGGCGCTAGCTGAGGCCTCGTCTTCGGTTGCGGCCAAAACTTGCTCACCATTGAAGCCTCGTGCTCAGGGTTTCAGTAGGATCAGTAGGCCTGCTGTACACACCGGCTGCGTTGCAATACAGACTGCTTTGCCATATTTTGGCTTTGTCAAAAAATGGGCCTTCCTCAAATTCCGGTGTTTAAAAGTAATCTACAAGCTCATTTTCTGCATCTCTCACCGGCCTTGCGGGAGAAGTTGCTCGGTGGGAAATGCAATTTGACCCAGTTCCACCGTGGTTCCACCGTGGTTCCACCCAAGGAACAGGGACATTTTCTCCACTGTGGAGGTTGAGGTCCACCTGGGGAAATGCCCTTTTGAATCTTTTGAGCTTTCGGCGCGAGATTGGTGGACGCACTGGTCCAGGTTGGAACGCCATCCCAGAGGTTTGAGCTGGTGGCAGATACAGGCGCGATTTTTCTATGATTGTCACATATTGTGGCCGATTTTTGAAGCATTCCATGGCGTTCCGCTGTGTACCAGTTGGAGAAGTGATTATTATACTGGTGTGAATTGACAGACTATAACGCCTTGGCAATCGCGGTGTGGAAGTCAGGCAGCAACACTCTGATTGTGCAGTCCTGCGTATGCCAGGCCTGACATGGTCAAATCCTGGTCAAAACCCCTGCTGATTGATGATTATAGATTATATATATGGGGCTAGCTATACATCCAATATAGTGAGGATTATCAGCAATCACAATCCACGAGCTGGGAAATCCTACCAACCAACCACTTGAGTTGACAGTCCGCAGATTGCTAAATTAAAAGTGTCGAAAAGTCTGGAAGCATCTCGAAGCATATCGAAGTTTTGACGTGAGTCAAGAGTTGTGGCTCTAGAAGTCAAGCATGACCGTAGTGATTCTAATTCCTATTGCTGGAACAGAAAAACATAGAAATCCTTACCGAGTAGTTGGTTGAGATTCATTCACCTAACCCAGAAGATGAATCGGTGGTGTCATGGTGCCTGTCGGACAGGGTGACCACATAGATGATGACAGGGCAGTCAACCCCGACCAATAGCCTTTGGACGAGTTCAGAAATCGACCACATTGACCCTCGTATACCTCGTCAATTTGACAACTTTATCCTCTTTTTGTGGGGTTGGGGGGGAACATATTTGTAACATTTTGTAACAATGATTTTTATATATATATATATATTTATACAATACATTACAGTACTACACTTAACGGTTATGGTTCCCGATTCATGAGCCAGCCTGGTCCAGCCTACCCCCCAGTGGGATCAACAGCCCAGGGCCCAGGGCTGAAAACGATCAAAATCCCTGACTCGCTTGGAAGGAGCTGGGCTCATGTCCTAGTAGCTTTGGGAGGTGCCGGAGCACTGTGACTGACCAGTCGTTGATTTTGACAGGGATTTCTCCTTGGATTTCATGGGATGTAACTGATGTACTGATAATATAACCAACAAATGATGCGGGGGCATGAGACCAACCATTTCATGGGGATACAATGGGATGTATGCAACCCATGTCTTTTCGGGGTTTTCCTTCAGATGTTCTGCGACAACCATTTTTTGAGATCCCGTGGGTCTGTGGACTGTGGATCTCTTGGCTCAAGTTGATGCGGTTTAGACTTTGGCTCAGGCCCTCAGGCCGTGGTTTATTCGATCCGGAAGTTGGGTTCCATGGAGTTTGGTCCACGCGACCTGACGACCACAGGCCCTCTGAGCCCGGTGGTGCGACGGCAAACCTCCGCGCCGCCAAAAAGGGAGATGCAGGACACCTGTCTCTTCCTTCACGTGCCTGGTTGGTGAGTCAAAATGCTTTGCATGATTTTGCATGTTTTTTCTTGTCACGTTTTTTGTTTTTGCCATTAGTTTTATATGCACACACACACACATATATATATATATAAATAATACACATACATGCATGCATGCATGCATGCATCCATCCATACATACAGACATACATACATACAAATATATATATATATACATTAAATAAACACACGCACACACACACACATATATATATAGAGACTATATAGAATTATTATATCACGTATATATATATATAAATCCATGTGTGTGGGATGATGATCCAAAATGACCCAAAATGACTCCTATTTTTGGGGGCTTTTCAACTACCAGGTGGTCAAGGATGGGAACCAACGGCGCTTGGTGCGACGTTTGGAACACGCCAACAGCGAGGAACTGGGCGACTTCGATGACACAGCGTCTTGGGAATCCTGGCGATCTGGTTTAGACAGTTGCACAGGCCGGAAGTGAGTGGCCTAGGCTGATCGTAGGCATCATCATCGTCCATTCTTTTTTTATAATCCAAAAGCACCATTTGTTTTGACAGTGTTAGGATTCACAGATCCAAGCGTTTGTGAAAGTATGTAGATGCTGATATGACATGATCATGCAATATCATGCATACGTGCAGATTTCGTTGAACACTCTCCAAGACGGCGATGGACGGAGAGGGATTCAGGACTGGACCCAAAATCGCCGGCGCTAGGCCGAAGCCGGGCAGGCAGCGAGTTGAGCATTTGCAGCAATTCCTCCGCGCGTGCCATGCAAGATTTCTTGGCATATGGAATTGGATCCAATGGAGGCAGTTTGACCGCTGGCCTGAGTGAAACCCCTGTAAAAAATATACAAAGAATGGGCTTCCACCGTCAAATCCAAGGGATTCCCGCACTTTTTTTGGCTCTGGGACGAGAAGGGAGGGAGAAATGATAGGATCACTACTGGATGGAAAGGAAACAGGAACATCTTGGAACACAGTGAAGAAGGTAAAGGGGCTTGAACCAAACCACACCTCGATTGGCAAAGATTTTTGTTTTACTTGATTGCATTCAGTGGTGTATAAACGACACAAGATTGTGGCAATCCTTTGGCACCTCATTAGTGAGCTGTGCTGGTGTGGTATGTGTAGTATGCTAACCAATTCCTGGGAGGCATGGACGCGATTGAGGATTTACACCGAAAGAGTGAGTTGCTTGGAGATACAAATATCAACGAAGAAAAAAACAACCTCAAGGCGGAAGCCACTCAGATGTGAACAAGGGAGAATGAGAACCACTTTCCATATCTTTCCATAGGTTTGTGACACTACCAGCAGGTGACCGGGACCGGATAGGACCAGGGTGAATCGCCAAGGACTGAGCGGCACATGGAGCATTTTTCTCTTGGCCATCAGACCCTTGAGATGCAAAGAATTACCCTCTGGTAAACTAACATAGCTATTGAAAATGGCAATTTATAGTGGATTTTCCCATTAAAAATGGTGATTTTCCATAGTTATGTTAGTTTACCAGAGGGTAAAAGGATGTTAATGATGTAGTTATTGCCGCTTCTCATGTGGCTTGTTTTTTTTTTTCCCGTAAGTAGTTAGAGCCACTGAGCCAGCTACACCCCCACATATTGGGTTGTCCATGGATATCCCCGTTTAGCATCGTTTAGCCAAAAAAAGACGTAAAGATGACGCTCGTGGAATTTCTGGGAACCGAAACGACCTAGACATTTTATCTGACAGGGGCTTGAGCCACACGACATGGGTAAACATGTTCCTGAGAATTTCAGGGGGTATCATATTTCCCATCTACGAATAGGGTATGCCTAAATCATCCTTCATATATTTCTAGGGTGTATAGTGTATACCCAATTTTCAGTCACATCCAGATGTCTTGGATGCATTTGACTGGCTGACGATATTGCAAGTTCTCGGCGCCTCAGGAAGCGTGCGATGGTCAAGCCCTTTCAACCGAAACTAGTCTGAAGTTACAAAGTTCACTGAACCTGAGGGTTCTTTTGACACCATCCCACTGATTTGGTTTCATCATGTAATATCATGTATTATCATGGTTTGTCTCTATTTCTGGGAGCAGCCAACATCCAGAACAATCAAATAGCATCAAGAGGATCGGAAATAAATGAGAAACACATGGATTTAAGTCCTTTTACTGGGCCCAACGGGCAACGGATCTGTTTTTTTCTTCGCAGGTCAATTTTGCCTGGTGAGGGACGTCCAGGCTGGTTTCGGGGATTTTTGCTCGTTGTTGGTTTCAGAGTTTGAACATGTTTCGAACTAGATTCTACTTGGGACGATTGGGAGGATGATCCCGGTTTGATTGGATTTTGTTTTGGGGGGTGTGGAGGCTCAAAATTGATAGCAACAGTATCTCAGATTGAGATCCGTCGTGACCAAGGCCGAGTGCTTCGTACTTCCAGCAACTTCAGCCAGCACAGTGCTGCGGCAATGCATGACATGCTATGCACCCACAGCAGCTTGGACGAATTCTTAATCCATGACCAACGGTTGGTGGTTTCAATTATGGCCATATGGGTAAAACTGAAAAAAGAACTGAGGAGTTTTCCATCCAAATATCACTGATCATCACTGACCAGGTTGGTTGATGGCTTGAAAGGCTTTCATCTTTATATTTGCATATTGCATATCACATAATAGAACTATAATGAACTATATTCTATCACACGCATAGGTACATAGATATAATATAGTATACATGCACGCATACATATATACCTTTGACATTCCATCTCTCCTTGAGATGATGATTCTCAACAAGAGTATACCATTGTACTTTTGAAGGGGCAGACCACCAACCCGATGAGTGTGGGTCAACACCTACAACACAATATTTGGATTTCAACACTGATTATATGGGGGAATTCATGTCCGCTTGCCAACTATTTTGGTGTGAAAACCAGGGAGGAGTTAGACCCATATCCATGCCCAGGAGGCTGTCACCATCCGCCCTCCGCCTAGGTCAAAATGTGTCAGAAACTGGAGAGGTGTCGTGGGATGTGGCTCGACTGGAATCCTGCCAACGGAAGGCTGGCCATAGGCAACCCGAGCGCAAATGCAGCTAATGTACCTTCTTGTTCGGGGATTGGTTTGTCCAAAGACGTGATCTGATACAATCCCTTCTCCCTAATATGAAACACCATCTAGAAACCCCTGGTTTAGTACTGGATCTCATTTTGGTGGTCCCATATTGGGCGATTCCCAAGTCAACAGCCGTTGGAGGGGTAAGCCCCCCATTTTCAGACAACGACAAATAGAACTGAACAGGGTTTTGAGATGTTTTGGGTTCCAAAGCCGGAGACCATCACACATCATATACATCATGTCATGGCAACTGCAAGGTCGATTTGCCAGAATTTGCCAGAGGCAGGTGGGCCAGTTGGAGATGAGCATTTCATCACCGCTCGCTTCAAGGGATCAACCGCAGCCAGCGGTATCCAACTGGATCTTGGCAGGTGATGGGCGTGTAGAAATGAGAGACTGAGAAGGTTGCGCAACCAAGTTGTCTGAAAATTGGATACCCTCAAATCCAACGATCTTCTGGTTTATCATGGTTTATCCATATTGATCCAGGTTGATCTGCCTTTGAACTGGTAACATTGCAGGGTATCCTTGGCTCACTGTTTTTTGATCAGGTTCACAGCCAAGCTGCGAGCCTGTTCTATATCATATGTAGACATATAGCTAGTTCCACTGTTGGCACCTGTGGCACCCAACTGTGGCGAACTTGGCATCACCATTTGTCCATCTGCCACCTGAAATCTTCCTGCATCCTGATTGGGATGTTGCCGGAGCATGTCTGCTATTGCTGTCTGTGTTGCTAGACAGCTTCAAAAACCGGCGTCTGGTGTAAACTGGCACTGCAACAGGAAGTGCTGCACCACCGCAGTTGGCTCTCGGCGCTTTTCCCATCAGATCATTCAGATCGATCTGATGCCTGATTGTGCATCTGCTGGCCTAATTGATAGAGTTTGACCATTTGGTTAGGTGGGTAAGCTATGGGACCACACTAAGTCACTAGTTGTGTAGGGGCTCCTCTCCACAGCTTCACTGCAGCAAAAAGGACAGCTGGCCGATGCGCGAACAGATCGTTTTGGAAGCAATCCCATGAGCTGATATCAACCCATTGCCCTGAGACCATTGTCGCACGTCTCTGACATTTTGATGCGGTAATATGTCGCAGTACCATAAGGACTCGGCATAGTGGCATAGTGGCATAGTGGCATAGTGCCAGTGCTCAGGCATGGATACAGGTAAGTGTAAGAGCTCCCAAAAATGGTCATCCTTATCTCTGACCTGGGGTGGGTTGAACAGAGGGCTCCTTGTTGGTACCCAGGCTCACAGGCTTGCTCCGCAATGTTATGTAGACATTGTAGACACTCCATGTGGAGATCACTTTAAACGTCCCTCCGTGGCATTTTGGCCTGCACGGCCTCGCTGTGATCCGGGCTGCCTCGGATCCGGAGCAAAAGACGTGCCACGCTTCGTCCAAGGGAAGTGCATGGACTTCGGGCAAGGATCTGTACCTTTCTTACAGCTTCAAACTGACGACATGTGACGATACATGTTGGAGTATCACTGCTTAGTTCAATTCACATTGTGACTTGGCTGCTGGAAGTGTGCCTTTTTGTGGTCCTGAGAGGTGTTTTCGTGGCAATGCAACCTCTACCTTCTCCATCGCTAGGTGCAGCAGTGGCAATCACTGATGGCACTTTCTTCAACACTCTTCCCAGGGAAACTCTGTGGAATGTTTGGAATACTGGAATACTGCGCTCCACCAGAATTTCCGCCCATCCATTTCTACGATTTTTTATTGGGTCTAATCTGGTCAAAATCAGCATGTAGCCGAGATTATACTCCCAGAAGCAGGTGGAACTCACAAAGATGTCAACTGACACACTGACCAGGAGCCAGAATGGAGATGCTCCCTGGCGGATCTTTGCTGGGTGTTGCACGATCATGGTGATTCTTCGCAAATCCCGTCATATGTATACATACAACACATATAAGTACACGATCTAAATGGGGCAGGGAAATGCGGCAACGATGTTCTGCTTTCTCGCGACTGATTTAATGGCATCATGCGCCGCTTGCGCGGCCCAGGGTGATCCCCATGTTTGGATTCTGAAGTATGGCAGTGGTGACATAGAGGCGCTGGTGACTACAGACTTTGTCTCTGTAGGAAGCTACACCGCCCGCATGAGCCTTGGCAACTGGAACGCTGCAATCTTGAGATCCACTTCTTTCATCCAAACCTCGTCGCATTATTCCCAACGCTTGGTGTCCATCACATACTCAAGATGCCACCAGTCGCTTTGGCGCTGGCAGAAAACTGAGGGTTTTGGTCCTGTCATGTCCTATCCCAGAAGCGGTTCAGTGCTGGATATCTTCAAGTTATCTTCCTAGCATTGCAATGCCAGAAATCGTTTGAGGATGAGGGGTGAAACAATGACTCCGGACCGCCCATGACAACCCTTGATTTGGATGGTCAAAAGCATGATTTCCAACGTGAAATCCTTGCCCAGCAGTGCCAGGAACAGCAGTCTTCTCCTGATGGTGAGCCAATCACTGAACTTTGACGCCAGCTTCGAAGGCATTTTGGGCCTAGGGGTTCCCAACGTCACGGCGAAGATTGGACCAGCAGGAGGTACACACAGGCACTCCGGGCAGGGGCAAACATCCCACGGCATGGCTATAGCGGATTGATGGTTAAATCGTTAAATCTGCATAAACCTGCATTTTTGCCAACATTCCTATGCTTGCTGATGAAGTACTCAATTTGTGCAGGTTAAATCCCTATGTTTGATTGTCAAATCCCATTTTTTGAATCAAGGGACCAACCATCGGGTTGCTGCATGCCATTTTTTGGGATGTGAGCTACCGGATGCCAAGGCTCAAGTTGTCCCAAGTGCCGGGTTGGTGGGAGTTGCAAAATATGTGTATGCTTGGATTTGCTTGCATTCCATTACCTCCTTTTTGTTTCGACGTCTTGGAAGTGACAACATGTGCTGCATTCATGTCATTTCCAAGCTTGGTCGCGCCCAATCATTGTATTTGAGGGATTTTCTACATTTTGCACGTTCCCTTGTGCCTCATTCGGCCTCACTCGGCCTCACCCAGTAAGCATTTTTTTTTTCTCCAAAGTTCATTTCCGCGGAGACCTACCTTGCAGATCCTTGCAGAAGTTCACCCTGCTAATACCTAACTTGGGGCTGTAATAACCTGGGGAAACTTAAGAGTCTCCAAACGGAGTATGGGAGACACTCTGGAAAGCTTTGCAAGTTTGGGTCAGGGTATCAGACAGGCTCCTTCATGATCCTGCACGTTTAATCCCTTTTTATCCCTTTTTCCCATAGGGAAGTACTTCCAAACGAAGCCCTGGTTTAGTGTTGGATCTATTCACCTAAGGGTCCCATGTAGACCACCCAATGCAGCAAAGGCAACCGGAGGTCCTCACAAGTTTCTTGGATGGTGCCAGGGTGAACCACTTCTCGTTGTGTTTCAACTCTGGCAACGATGGCGCCTTGAACATGGGCGACGGGGAGGATGGGATATGTTGGGATCTTTGAGCATAGTTAATCATGTCACGAGAATCATGCTTTCCGCTATCCCAAAAAAACATTTGACTGGAGGCTAGCCACCAATTCCTAATTAAAGGCATCGAAGAAACTCTGCAAAGAAGATTGCCTGACAGAAACCCAGATGGGTCGCCACAGGATAGCTTGTGCCCTACTCGGATGTGCATCACAGTTAGTAAGTGGTTTCCATTCGATGTGTAGCCAATTTTGAGCCCATTCATAGCCGTGTATATCATTTGATACAATTTGCTGGTTGGTGCTTTGGAACATGTTTTATTTTTCCATATATTGGGGATAATAATCCCAACTGACTAATATTTTTCAGAAGGGTTGACACCACCAACCAGTTTGCCATTATTTGCCCAAAAAACTGCCCTTACATACAGCCCACATACAGCTATATCTCCACTGGATCGCTATGGTTAACAAGCGGATGCACATCAAAAACCGGCGCCATTCCCAGGTGTTTTAGCTCTTGACTATGAGACCGCTGCAAAGCCTTTGGCCAGCACCTCGCGTGAGCATTGGCAATTGAAATTGCTGGGAGCCAGTGTGGCTGGACATCAGATTTCAATGGGCCAGGAGCTGCGATGTTTTGATGTTTTGTAGTTTCGGATGGCCTCCGTTATTTTAACATAGAAAAAATGGTCCAGCTATAATTTATATAGATGATTTATCTCTTAAACAGTGATTTTCCGTAGCTGCGTGAAAATTCTCCGATGTTAGCCACAGGATCGTTTTGGTGCATGGATCATTTTTGCATTCGTTTGAGTAGTGATTTTGCATTGCTGTTTCAGATTGCGTGAGTACCGGAGGGCGTGCCGCAGGATACGGCCAAACATTCAGCGATTCCGGACTCTGGAACCACTTTAATCACAGGAGCGCTGACTGGCGCGGGCTGGGTCCGCTGGGAAGTTGGACTGAGAGGACCAAAGATGCCATGCATTAGTTGCAGGAGGGAAGGATCCAATTAAGTGTGATCCAATTAAGTGTGATCCAATTAAGTGTGATCCATTACATGCCATATTTTTTCAACAGTATGTATGATAATGATTTTGTGATCCAATAAAGTGTGAATCGCAGGATTCACAGCACTGCATGACTGCACGTTGCCCAGGACCCCAGGAGCAGATTGCAGCCTTGCTGGAGTCGATTTGTGAAAAGCAGCTTGGAAAATTAGCCTATCAAATCCTATCAAGCTTCTCTGTGTATAGGGCATGGATTTGGATGGTTTGGATGATCACTGAAGGTGGCCGCGATGCAAGACAGCCAGAGAGGAACTCAATATCGCAATGGCTCTTTGGCTGGTACCATTGGATGTGTAACCCATTGTAACCCAGGGTCTAAGGTGAAGAAACTCAGAGTTCTGAGGTCCAAACGCTCTCCAAGACAGCATCCAAAGGCAAGGCAGTCATGGGCCCCGGACAGTGGAGCGCCAGAGATGTCCTGTAAAGTAGTAAAGTAGTCATGGTCAAGATATGTCAAGATATTTCAGATCTACAGGCAACGTTTGTCGCTGCCAAGTGGATGCACCACAGGGCACCAGGCAAGAGTCTGACCATAGTTATTTGGAACAGGTGGAACAGTACAGGTTCCTTCGAATTCCTTGCTGCCACCCCTGGTGCAGGTGGAGTTGCCAGTCGTTCCAAGACCAGGCATCATCGATTCTTTTTGAGGTGAGATCATCCATTGCAAGTGATTTGCTGCCAGGTTGCTGGATGCTTATGCAAGATGGCATGAAAGTGCGACCCTCAGCTCCCTCCAACCTCAAAAACTTGCATTGGAGCGGTCCTTGATGTTGTTTCCCAGACTTGTTTCTTGGAGAACTCCGCCAGGAAGCCTATATTCTAAGGTCAATTCGGTCAATTTAGGGGATCAAAAGCAACATTTCTGCACCCGTAGATCTTCTCGTCCAGCAATTGATGTCCGAAAGATCTCAGGTTCTGCAGGTGCTTTTGCCCAGGCGGGCGGCCTCAGCCTGGAAAGGACCAATGGCTGAGCTGATAATATGAGATGTTTCGCAAAAATGGTGGTTGACAATAGGCAGTGCGCAAACAAATTGTGCTGTACAGAACATGCATATCATAATATCATATTATATACTGTAATATGTATAAATATAATATTGTACTACATTTACATATTTCCCCACCTGCCAGGTGAGGGTTGTTAGATTTTATGTCAGTTGCCTCCTCCTGCCTCCTCCTGCCTCGTCCTCCTCCTCTCCTCCTCGTCCTCCTCGTCCTCCTTGTCATCCTTGTCGTCCTTGTCGTCCTCGTCGTCCTCGTCGTCCTCGTCGTCCTCGTCCAACTGCGACCCGCGATCCACAGTGTTCTCTGCCGGACCTCAACCACGACCATCCACGCCCAGTGTTCCCTGCCGGACCTCAACCGCGAGTATCCATGCCAAGTGTTCCCTGCCGGACCTCATGTAGGAAGATATGGACCTCAACCTGGGACCTGCCCAGCTCAGTGTGCACCGCTGGACCTCAACGGCCAGATAGAATGCCAGAAGATATGCCAGATAGAATGTCAGATAGAATGCCAGAAGATATGCCAGATAGAATGCCAGAAGATAAACCAGATAGAATGCCAGAAGATATGCCAGATAGAATGCCAGAAGGTATGCCAGGTAGAATGTCAGATAGAATGCCAGATAGAATGCCAGAAGATATGCCAGATAGAATGCCAGATAGGATGCCAGAAGATTTGTCAGATAGAATGCCAGATAGAATGCCAGAAGATATGTCAGAATATATGCCAGAAGATATGCCAGATAGAATGCCAGAAGATATGTCAGATAGAATGCCAGAAGATATGCCAGATAGAATGCATCAGATTTGCCAGATAGGGTGCCAGAAGATATGCCAGAAGATTTGCCAGATAGAATGCCACAAGAAAATGCCAGAAGATATGCCAGATAGAATGCCAGAAGATATGTCAGATAGAATGCCAGAAGATTTGCCAGTAAGAAAATCTATAAATGTCATGGTGGGGATCACACGAAGTAAAGTAATTTTATTATATGTATGTATATTTGTACGCATGGATATGGACATTTGAACGCGTACCACACAGATACTGGTCAAGGCCAATGCCTCCTTCACGGGCTCTGGCGCCTTTGCTTTGCAGATGCTGATGGAGGCTCTGATGGCTGCCATTGGTTCGAGGGAAACTATGCAGAAAGCCCGTGGTTTTTGCTCACCTAATTCCAGGTAATTATAGATATAGATATATAGTATATATACGTACTGTGTATATATATATATATACATACACACACGCACATATATATATATATCCTGGAAAATGCCTACCTAACCCTCTGGTAAAAATATGTGGGTTTAAGGCTTTCCAGCCCTTTTGCACATATTCCCCGAACATGTAGGATACTGGCTGCCCGAAATGCAGGTTTGAACCAGCAAAAAATGCGGGGGGTCAACCAACGACAGGGATGGGTTAAACCTTTGGTGCTTACACAGATTAAGGGATGAACATCCAGAACTACCAGCTGTGAAAACCACGGTGCCTGGGTGAAGCAGCCAGCCCCAAAGGATTCAAGTAGATCACGCTCAGCATGGTCCATATCCTCTGGCCCTGCTTACAATGTCACAGGATTGTAGCAGCTGGAAGACGGGGGTTCACTTGAATGCCTGGGGCTCTAGCCATCTACGCTGTGGCCAGGGTGGGCTGTGGTCTAAAGATGACTTTATCATGAATCGGGGATGGAAATCGATCAGAAAGCAGATCTTGCCATATCTTTCCACCTTATATAATTTATATGTTTTGCGCTTTGGGTGACAAGTCAAATACTGTACCTCAACGGCCCACACCCTATCTCCGTTTCATGAGGGCCCAATATCACGTCTGGATGCTGACGCACCCTGAGGCTGAGATGCCTACCATCAAGCTTCATCTTGAAGGACCGGTGGCCAGACGGCCTAGGGGGGGTTGAGAGACATATCTTTTTTGCTGCCACATTTCTGCAAACGTGTCCCAGCATCTTTTTGGACACAGAAGCACATGCCTCTGCAAGCAATGGGTGAAAAAAGGTATTGACACTGATGATGGTGTCAACATTTAAGCGTTAAACATGCCTAATTTTACTAAAAAGCTTGAATGAAATTTCTGAGAATTCGTTCCTATCGCACAAGGTCAAAAGGTTTGGATCGGAGAGGCCCAAAACGTCGCAGGAGCAGATGGAACCAATCAGGACGTCCAACTTCTCCCCAGCAGTGCTGTCCTGAGATGTCCTGAATTTTTTCCATGGGCTGGGTGCAAACTTAACCATCCAAATGTGACATTTAACCATCACCATAGGTGGAATTGAACCAGAAAATGCAGGATTGACCTTCTAAAACAGATTATGCAACCATCAAACATATCGTTTTGCTGATGAAACTTTCACCTGATAGCGAGTCCCAAAGATGTTGGACCAGGCTATGTGGCGGAGGTCACTGCGAATGCCATGGTCTGGACTCAAAAGTACTTGCTAGGCCAGGGCTTTGATCTCAACTTGCCAGAATTTGCCAAGAAGCTTCCGATGTTTCTGAATATGTGGACAACATCATATATAATTACGTGTAGGTTTGAGGACTTTAATTTATCACCAAAGGAAGAGATTCTGAGGAATCTTCTGGCGGCCTTTGGGGCACAAAAGATGGGTTCGATGGATGCTTCGATGTGATTTCCGCCAGGTATTCTGCCGTACTGGTGGCCTGAGCTTGAAGAAGATTCGAGTTGTGCCACTCTGCTGGGCAGCGCGGAATATGTGGGCCACCAGGCGCCGTGTTTGGGCTGATTTCTGATGGGTTCTGACTCGGGAATGATATGGGGTGATCATGTTTGATCATTCATGTGGTACACCGATACATCCAACTATGACCTTACCATCCGGGGATGGTTTTCACTCGTACCACCGATTTGTGGGAATAAGGAGAGGGGAATAAGGAGAGGAATATATTGTGGATATTTGTGGATGGTGGCATTGGGTTTCCCACATTATCATTGCCACCAAGCCCAGATCAATCAGCAATCTACGCAGCCATGGCAACGACGGCCGTGAGGTCTGGATTCTGGGGACCCCACTCTTCTACAACCGCCGTGCCACTTGGCAGAGAAGATCTGTGGTCATCTATGGCCTATGGTCATCTATGGTCCGTTCCCGCCGTCCGTGAAGGGCGTCGCGTTGCTTCCGTTGATTTGCCGAGGTTCACTTCGACCTTGGCTTGATTCTGAGTTGATAAACCGCTTGGAGAAGGTCCTTAGAGGTCAGATTAAGAAAGGACAAGCTTCAAGAAGGGCAAGAAGATGCAAGGAAAAGGATGGAAAAGGACTTACCCTCTGGTAATTTAACATAGCTATTGAAAATCACCATTTTTAATGGGAAAATCCACTATAGATGGCCATTTTCAATAGCTACGTTAAATTACCAGAGGGTAAAAAGGATGGAAAAGGAGGAACTGATGACATTTTCCGAGGTTCACCTCCAAGTGTTGGCTTCAGTGACGAGCCATGTGGCAGCTGCCTGTGCCTGAGGGAATCAAGCTAGTGGCCCTTCGACGAGATTTCATGCAGCATTGATAAGGTATAGTATGGTATAGTATGGTATAGTTACACACTCAAATAATCCCAAACATGCATTCGGCCATCAATACATGTACCGGTACCTATATGCCTATGTGCTTTGCGGAGGGAGATACATTTTAATATATATGGATTTATGCAGGTGCATGGGGCATTTTCGCATACACTGTGTGGTTCAATCGGTGCTGTGCAGCCCAAGTTTTCAGCTGAGGTGTTTCTGGAGAGTACCAGAATGACATCTCCCTGGCCCAAAGTCACAGCAACTTGGTACCCAGAAAGTGGGCTACCTTGCCTCAGTGGAGATTGTGGGCTGATTTCGAAATGGATAAAATGCGTGATTTTGACCACCAGTGCATGTCGAGCCTCATGGGAAAATCATGTTTCAAACCACTGGGTTGGGGCACCCTCTTGTTGAAGGTAAGGCTATGAGCCTATGATGGCCTATGGGTATCAATAGGGATATCACCAACAGGAATGGGTATCAAACCATCACCCTGGGATGAACAAACCTGACAATTGCAACATCCCCGTTTTCCTCATGAACATCATCTATCAATGAATCATCTTTCACGGATTTCCATTGCCAGGTTCGATCTTTAGGGAGGTGGTTTGGGATGCAACGTGACCATCCAAAGCCGTCCTGGCTTTGAACAAGGTGCTGGCATGCGGCAACTGAGACACCCTGGCAGAGTTCCGTGGCCGAAAACCTCTGAGTCGTACTGAGCCACTGAGCTGTTTGCACCAAAAAAAAACCGTGGCCACTTGACAAGTCTGGGATTGGGCGAGCCCTGCAACTGCAGAGATTCATTCGCCACCAGTGCGATTTGACATTTGAAAGTTCAGAAAGGCACTGACTCCTTTTGCTGCCTGAGCGGCGCTATCTATGGCTTTTGCACTCTAGCTTTGACTTCTTCATGTGCTTCTCTTGATTCGCGCAGTTAATGTTTTTCGCGAGGGGTTGGACTGCCGCATCTGAAAAAGCGCGCTGCTGGAAGTTTCAACAGTGAATTGCTGCATCGAAGGCCGCATATACGGATCCACTTGTTGATGACACTTGAGAGATAGTAATGAGTTGGTGATGTGATGCATTGGTGAAATTCAAGCGTCCTCAAACTGACTAGCTGTCTAACATTTCCGAACTTTGGTCTTTGGTGCTGAGGACCAGAAACTTGGTCTTCACCTTTCAGAAGGCGCTGTGGGGCCTCACCATGATCCCCACCAAGGGATGTTTGACAGGGGAAGCGGCGGCATCGGCAGCCTGTGAATGACAGGTCCAAACATTGTTTGCGGCGACACGACCAGTGTGCCCACCTTAGGAGATTGCGATTGTGGATGGAGTGCTTTTGCTTCGAAGATGTTGCTGTTTTACTTTTGGCTACTGCAGGGAAAGAACGCATTCTTACTTGCTCTTTCAGGGAGATTTCCGCAAATGCTGTTTGGCATCCTGCCTAGGATCTTCCAATGGTACTTGCTGTGCTGCGATTGATGTGCGGGGACAAGGTGGTTGCATCCTCAGCGTGAAAGCTTTCTTTGACCGATCTTTGGGGCATTACCTTCCCGCCAGAAATCTAAAGGTCGTTGCCTCCTACCAATTTCTTCCCGCATCTTTACAGCATTTGCTGTACATTTCTGGCCGATTTTTAAGCTCATCAATCTCATCAGAATTTTGAGGCAGAGATTTGATGTTTCAGGTGGATAGATGGCAAGCCCGCCTTCGGCAAGATGATGCCACGGACGAACCTCAGGCGCCTTCTGGAAATGGGATGGGACCTGAGTGACCTGGGTGACCTGATTCCATCTCCGGTGTCCCCGCTTTCCAGCATTGTGCTGGACATTGCAACATTCCTTAACATTCCTTGCCAATCCAATGGATTTTGTGTTATTTATGTTGAGATTTCTTGATGTTTCTTGATCCAAATGCTAGTACAGTTAGTACACTAAGGCCTTTCTTTCTTTCCTTCCCAATTTGCTTGACACTGGCAACAAGTCCAGGAGGAGGATCCCTCAAGTGATGCTGAGCAGGGGCCCTGTTGACACAGCTGAGTTTCTTGCTGAAGGTGTACAAAGCCCCGTAGTTTGGCCAAACAAATCTGCAAGTCCAATGGTTCCGTAAAGGTATATGGCTGTTTTTGTTGTTTTCCATTGTTTTCCCTTTTTCGTTCTTTTTTTTTTGGGTGGGTGGGATAATCATCCCAATTGAATCAACATTTGATACATTTGCGGCTTGGTGGGATAACAGCGAGTCGCGAGGCTGGACGAGGCTGCCAAGGAGGAGGCTGAACGAAAGGCACGGTCAATCTGTGTCAATCTGGCAAGCCCCAGTTAGCCATCTATTGGGAGGTGAATGGAGTTGATCATTTTAAGCCATAGCACTTCTACATACCCTCCGGTAATTTAACATAGCTATTGAAAATGGCCATTTATAGTGGATTTTCCCATGAAAAATGGTGATTTTCAATAGCTATGTTAGTTTACCAGAGGGTACTTATACTTAAACCTGGTGAACTGAGAAGCTTACACAAGTTGATGAAATGGAGAGTTGCACGTGACAAGATGGCCGATGGATGCCGTTGCTAACTGTGGTGATGGCTTTAGGTATGCGTATGCCCTTAAGTTCTCCCAGGATAGAGAACTCGGTTCCAGGCACGAGAGGAGGAGGAAGAGGAAAAGGAGGCCGCTGCCGTGTCCTCTCCATGGTGGCCACTAACGGCTCAAATGGGGGATTGCTAATGGGGTATTGCTATAATATTGCTATTGAAGAACCCCCTAAAACACCCTGAGTTTTTGGTGCTTCATCCCCATTTGATGATGTTATTTGGCACTGAAATTCTCTCAATCATTTGAATCCTTCATATTCTTGTGCGACACCATGAAATTCCGCAGGTTCTGGTAATTTTCACCCCCAGGCGCGGAAAGTTGCCTCCAAGCTGGCCGTACTCTTCGTGGTGCGGTCGCCAAGCCGTAGCCAGTTTTGGCATGTCAGAAATGACACATTTGGGATTTTTGGACCTCCATCTATCCATGAATAGACGAGCACATAGATATACAATGAATGAACATGATGCAAATAATATATGCAAATAATATATGCAAATAGATTTTGATGATTTTGGGATTTTTCATGATTTTTCATTGGGGTCGTTTATTTGGGAAAACCAGCGGGAAACTACAGTTTGTTCGCAAAAGAAGTATTGCGGTTTCCTGTTACTGGTAAGAATCTCCGAAGCCCATCCATTTATGTTGACACCAACCAGGGATGTGTCAATCCTAGCTTTGTCGCGTACGCATATCTTGATTTTTCCAACCCCCACGATTGGATGGGCGACGACAAAAACATGCACGAATCTGTGGGTGGTGTGGTGCTGCCACGACCATGCGACCATGAAAATCTTTGATGCGCATGGTGAAGCAAAATGGCTTTGGGATTCATGATGTGGTTGATTTTCTGGATAATTTATGATAATTTGACATATGATACATATGTAAGCGGCCCGTTTATTTCCACAAAGAGAGGTCCAAAAGGACACCCAGGGTAATGACCATTTAATGACCCACATATGACATCATATGACTGGGTTTATGGCTAGTCATATCTAGTCATTTGATGTCATTTGTAACCCAGCCGGTGATTCATCGTTACCACGTAGTTGGACTGGGAGACCAGACATGTCCTTGGCTTTTTGCAACGCCATGGCTTTGTTGCTCAGATAACACCAGACTCCTACAACAAGAGCAGGCGGGTTGCAGATCAGGCGCCAGGGCCTGGGGGTGCGGATGGACTTCCGATTCCAAAACTGGTCATTGGAAGGATTTAAGGCAAAATTTAAGGGCTCATTTGCAGGAAACCATGGGTTTTCCCATTGAAGATATTGAAATCCAATGAGGTCGCTGAAACCTCAGGTTTGCTCCTTGGCCGAACTGACAGGTCTTGAAGTGGTGCGAACTTTCTGGCGCCCAGTGTGCCTAAGCTGCATTAAGCTGCAACAGTCCGGAAGGTTCTCTTGTCTTCTGAAGGAATGGCTGGAAAATCCTAACTTTTGATGGTGGAAACATATGGAAACATTGGATCATCATCCAACTATATGCTATAGCCGCTATAGCCATATGTTTAATGGGATGTCTGATTGCTGGAGGGTAAACCCAGAGCACATGGTTCAAATAGGTTTTGGAGGGGCAACGAGCATGCAAGATCGCAATGTTGGTCATGCTCAAAGCCGAGAAGCGTTAAATTGCAGTCCAATTGCAGTAGATTTCAGGTTCCATCATTCCAGCACCTGATGTCTTGGTCTACACCCTTGCCAAATATGCAGAGGAGAAGTTTGGGCCTCAGAATCCGCGAAGTCTGGAGCACTGGCATTCGGCAGTCGGCTTGGAAAACCAGTGAGCGCTAAGGACTGGAACATCTGTGACTTTCCATCAGATAGGAGATGGAGATACCACGGCGTAGCTTGGTGCAATTAGAGGGTATGATGTTCATTGATGTTCTCATTGTTCTCCTGCCAACCAGTCAGAATCGTCAGAGAAAGTCAGAAGGCAATTGATGTCATGCTTCTGGTTCTGCAGATTACTGTAGTTCAATTCTATTCAATTCTCCTTGCTCAAGGTCCGACAAAGACATAGACAAAGACTGGCCTCAAACTCGGTCAAAAGAGCGAACCAGGAAGGAGCAGACATGCGATCGCTGACTCAGGACCGTACCAGCACTTGGAAGTCGCTGCTCAGCCTGCACCAACTTCGCTTATAGGGCTCTTGTGAATGTGGCTAGTGATATCTAGTGATGGCTAGTGCCTTGTGAACCGAAATGGCCCTGACACGGACAATTTTCCCAGGCGAGCGATCGCCTTCTTTTGAGCTTCCAGAGCCCAACTGCCAGAATCTGAGAGATCAGAGATCCAAAAATGGGAGCTGTCCCAGCCGCTGTCCCCTACACAGACGATGGCAATGAAATTTCTTGTGGCATACGCTAGGATTTACACCGATGTCCGACAATGTTTCCATTTTTGCACACTCGGATCCGTAAAATTCCGCAAACGTAGACACACATGGATGTGTGAAACACGCGTGCGCGTGGCACTGAAACTTTTTTTTTGTTGTGCGCTCATCGATGTACCTGCAGTTCTTAGTGATGGCATCAGGGCCAGAGCCCAGAGCAAAGACCTGATGGCTGTATCATGCTGCACACACACACACACGATATATATATATATAATCCCCCATGTATAGCTCACTATAAAGTGGACATCCTTTGCGCTTATAAAGTGGGTTTCCGGTCGCCACTTTATATACCGACAATGGGGGATAAAGCCGTGTTTTGCGCGAGAAACATGCCCTTGGACCTGGAAGATGACTTTATTAGAACGTTGGCTTTCCAGTTTATACCCGGCTGGTTTCCCACAAGGAAACGACTCAATATATGCGGCAATGCATTTTATAGACCGTTGGTTCCCTTCAAAGAATGGCCATAATATGTCACACCATCCACTTTATAGAAACATGTCTCCCCAATTATTTCGGGCCAATATTTTTCTGTTGGGGCTGTATACATGGCAAAGCACTTTATAGAGTGAAACTTGCCCTTTAAGAAGAAGAATTTGTGCTGCATCCAGGGCACTTTATAGAAAGAAAATTGCGGCAGAGCATTTTATAGAGTCATGAGATACATCATCCAAGTCACTTTATAGAGCTGCCCAGGACCCCATTCACCCTGAGGACCCCTTTCAAGGGAAATCTTCTTCTCTATAAAGTGGCCAGTCCAGGTAAAACCCCTGAAAAAACAGAATCTATGTTGGACTGGCCACTTTATACCCCCTCCCCAAACAGAGTATGCCTCTATAAAGTGGCCAGTCCAGGTAAAACCCCTGAAAAAACAGAATCTATGTTGGACTGGCCGCTTTATACCCCCTCTCCCGACAGAGAATGCCTCTATAAAGTGGCCAGTCCAGGTAAAACCCCTGAAAAAACAGAATCTATGTTGGACTGGCCACTTCATACCCCCTCCCCCGACAGAGAATGCCTCTATTAGGTGGCCAGTCCAGGTAAAACCCCTGAAAAAACAGAATCTATGTTGGACTGGCCACTTTATACCCCCTCCCCCAACAGAGAATGCCTCTATAAAGTGGCCAGTCCAGGTAAAACCCCTGAAAAAACAGAATCTATGTTGGGGCCACTTTATACCCCAGCCAGTCGGCTCCAGGACTTTGACCCGGAAACGGAAGGACTGACAACAAGGTAAAGGGGGAAAACTACAACGGAGAGGTACAACGGGAAGGCTACCACAAGAAAATGAGACATGTCACGTTTATATACGTTTATCGTTTTCAATGTGTCATATAGATTGGCGATGATTGGTATATTGAATATGTTGTAGATGTATTTTGGAACATATGTATACCTATGATTCACACATCAATATAAATATATATAAATCATAAGCACGTGCCAAACCAAAAACTTTTAGCTGAGTATTGTATTCCCAATCATCTGTTGGCAAATGTCCAGCCGATTCACCATGCGTGACCCAACAAGATTCAAACTATGGATTGTTTACTTTCGAAATTTTTTTTTTACTGGTTCTTGCAAACAATTTTATAGAGGATGGGCATGGACCGGCCAGTTTATACAGAGGGTGGGGCTGCCAGAAATGACGTGATCAAGCCACTTTATAGAGCTGAACTTTCTTGCAAACCATTTTATAGAGGATGGGCATGTGGCCGTGGTTTTGGTCCATAGATGTCCATAGATTTTTAGGATGATTTTGGGAGATTGTCGTCATAGATATACGTAGATTCACCCAGTATTTTTTTCAAAAGTAAACAATCCATAGTTTGAATCTTGTTGGGTCACGCATGATGAATCGGCTGGACATTTGCCAACAGATGATTGGGAATACAATACTCAGCTAAAAGTTTTTGGTTTGGCACGTGCCTATGATTTATATATATTTATATTGATGTGTGAATCATAGGTATACATATGTTCCAAAATACATCTACAACATATTCAATATACCAATCATCGCCAATCTATATGACACATTGAAAACAATAAACGTATATAAACGTGACATGTCTCATTTTCTTGTGGTAGCCTTCCCGTTGTACCTCTCCGTTGTAGTTTTCCCCCTTTACCTTGTTGTCAGTCCTTCCGTTTCCGGGTCAAAGTCCTGGAGCCACTGGCTGGGGTATAAAGTGGCCATTCCAGGTAAAAATGTGTTTTTTCAGGGGTTTTACCTGGACTGGCCACTTTATAGAGGCATTCTCTGTTGGGGGAGGGGGTATAAAGTGGCCAGTCCAACATAGATTCTGTTTTTTCAGGGGTTTTACCTGGACTGGCCACTTTATAGAGGCATTCTCTGTTGGGGGAGGGGGTATAAAGTGGCCAGTCCAACATAGATTCTGTTTTTTCAGGGGTTTTACCTGGACTGGCCACTTTATAGAGAAGAAGATTTCCCTTGAAAGGGGTCCTCAGGGTGAATGGGGTCCTGGGCGCGCCGCGCGCGCGCGCGCGCCAAAAAGGTTTCAAAATTGAAGCCATTTTGACGCGCGCGCGCGCGGCGCGCCCAGGACCTCTTTCACCCCAAGGACCTCTTTCAAAGGAAAAGGTGTTAGAGGCATTCTCTGTTGGGGGAGGGGGTATAAAGTGGCCAGTCCAACATAGATTCTGTTTTTTCAGTGGTTTTACCTGGACTGGCCACTTTATAGAGGCATTCTCTGTTGGGGGAGGGGGGATAAAGTGGCCAGTCCAACATAGATTCTGTTTTTTCAGGGGTTTTACCTGGACTGGCCACTTTATAGAGGCATTCTCTGTTGGGGGAGGGGGTATAAAGTGGCCAGTCCAACATAGATTCTGTTTTTTCAGGGGTTTTACCTGGACTGGCCACTTTATAGAGGCATTCTCTGTTGGGGGAGGGGGTATAAAGTGGCCAGTCCAACATAGATTTTGTTTTACCATAGATTCTGTTAACGACTTCGATATAGATATTTGTCTGGCTGTCGGTTTCGTTCGGTTTCGAAGTCATTCGAAGTCTTTTGGGTTCCCCATCGATGAGATCGATGATATTCCCCCAAAGTTTGAACGTGGCCCCTCAACTTTATAGACAATCATGTCGATGCTTCCATCGTCGCGATTAAGAAAATCATCGCTACTACAACGATCGTTGTTTAGTAGGAAATCCACATTATAGTGCCACTGTTCGACACAAGTATTACTATCTGGATGTTCGGCATCTCACTTTATAGTCATGGGACATGTTCACAAGTACCCTCAAAAACCTACATCGAGTTTTATGTTTTTACGCGGCCAGGCGACTTTATACAAACGTTGGATTTTGACTTTATAGACAAAACATGTTGGCTTTCCACTTTATAGACTCCAAACATGTGGCCATTCCAGTTTATACCAGGCTATTCTCTATAAAGTCAGCCGCAAAGCATCTAGCGAGCTGTACATGGGGGATTATATATATATACACATTATATACACAGATACAGAGTGTTGTGGTCTAATGCATGTCTACCATGCCTCCACATCTCAACAGTGCTTTGTACCAGCACACTTTAGGGTTCAGAAATCGTATGCAAATATTGCAGCGGGACTATTTCCACGTCAGCTCCATGTTCATCAATGGTACTGAAATTATTCAACATGTAATTGCTGTATATTACTGCACTTGGAACTGAGACTGTCATTTTTAGTAGTAAATCGTTATCCATTCTCGGGGTTCATCCATGTTGATCCCATTTTATCCGCCACATTTCGTTGGATAAATCGATAAATCACCAATAATCATCATACACCATAAATATCCATAAATGAATATAAATAATCAACGATCATATATAGTTTGAATATGTTTGAATGATTTTGAGTGATTTTGAGTGCTGAATATCTGATCTTCATCACTCAGCTGCGGTTGTGATCCGGATTTGTGAGGCGTCCATGGGGAGGTTTCGGAGCTCCCCTTACTCCCGGAGGCCGTGCTCGGTAGCTTGGCGTAGCATCTTCCCTTATGGCCTGACATAGGCCTTACATAGGCCTTATAATAGGTAGCTCTAATTTAAGGGTTCCTGAAATGGAAATGAATTGTTGTTCTAGATAGGTATGATAGAGTGAAATAGTAGCTTGGGGGTATAATCTTGGACAGATCTGGAAAACATTTGGAAACAATGTGGACTAGACTTGACTCAGTTGATGATCAGACGCCTCCATTCTGCGCCTCCATGTGGCCTAGGTGCCTCCAATGGCCCTAGGCAAGCCTGGGCTGCTTGAGAGCGGAACGCCAGGTGCCAGAACTACCACCCCCAAATTGGTACTTTTAATATCCGGGATTAATTATCAATGATTATCATATGTATTCATATGTAATATGGTCGAAACATGGGTGGGCAAGGAACCAAGGTTTCATGAAAAGACTTCGGGCTCGTGGATTTGGCTTCTTCGATCCCGCCACCAGTGCTTGGGACGATGGAGTGTAGTTAACTCTACGTGGTGTGCGTGGAACCATGGGTTGTTTTCCCATATTGGAGTATAGTCCTCAATCCAATGTCAATCCATAGGGATTTACATGGATTTGCACAAGAATTAGACAAAACATATGAAGGAACCCTCTGATGATGGCGAAATGACCATAATTACCCCATCTACCATGTTTTGACCATGGCACATATAGCAACCCTGAAAGGCCGATGGACCAGTTGGAAACCTGGAAAATATGAAGGAAACATCATCGAACTACCATCCTGGAAACACCTTTTCATTTTTGGGATTGCTATAATCATATTAATCATCTATGATCAGATGGGATTTTTGCAATAGATTTCATATAAGTCCCTTGCTCATGTTTTTTGGGTTTGCAGAGGTAACTGATGCAGAAGGGGTGCATTTGGGCCCACCAAAATCATGGTATTGGCACTTGGAAGGCCTGAGAAATTTGGAGACCTGAGCGGAGCCGCGGCATGCGGGGAATTGTAGAAATGGATAGACGGCTTCATTCCGATGTACGCCCCTGAAATCAAGGATGATGTTCGTGCAAAACCTTAAAACATCAGTTTGGAGCCAGAGATTTTGCATGACTTTTGGCATTTGGGGGTCATATACATGTTGATTTCCGGGGTGTACCATGGTGTACCGGTGTACCTGATATTTTTTGGGAACCACTTTCAACATCTTTCAACCATGTCATGTTGCATAGTAAGTCTTGGTACGTCTTGGTGCTGGTCCGAGTTTGTCGTTTGTCTTTCTGCTGTCGAAAGCACAGGGAAGTCAAATGGAACTTGCCTGAGCTCGAAAATGCGCCGAAGATGTGGACAGTGGCCGGCTGCGCAAAGTCGGAGCAAGTGGCAAAGCCCTTGTTTCCTGGAACCGCATGATTTGCAGGGTTTGGGGCTGAGGAAGGTGAAGAAAAGGAACGGAGCAAGGGTATGACGAAAGACTAATAAAGGTCAAGGTCCTGAAAGCCCATCCCGCACCTTCCCACCTTTTCCAATCTTGCACATCACTGCCACTGTGCACGTTGGAGGTTTCATGGACATCCCAACAGGCACGTCCGACATGCTACTGTCGACATTTCAACCGCTCGAACGTCTCTGGGCTGTCCATGCAGCTTGCGGCAGCGCGGGGCAGATCAACGCGGCAGCCATCGTCAGCCATCTTAACTTTTCCGATGGCACCGGCGTCGTAGAGTCAGGAGCCAGCCTTCGGAGCCAGCATTAGTAAGGGACAGCTGTTGGGAACAGTTATTGTTGATGCTGGTTTACACATCATAGAGGCTATAATCTCTACAATTAAGGCACATTAAGCTGAGAAGACGATAGGTACGATGGGAAAAGATGGGAACAGTATAAAGTAATATAAAGTATGAACATGATGATCAACCTATAGTCATCTATGGTCCCAGAAGTTTAGAATGCTTTGGGATCCTGCCCTAGCAACCTAGATGCCGGGAAGATTCATCACATGTCGTGGGAAGCTTGACAAAACTGGCGGAGTTCGCGAAAAATCGCACGCCCAGGCTTCAAAAGTCGATCTTCTACACGTCAATCAATTAAACGAATTAAATGCCATAATATGATATAATATGCATCAATTGTTGGATGGAACCCCGCTGTTTGGAACAAGATCATTGGATATCATTGTGGATATCATTGGCATCTTGCACATTGCATGGACCAGAACCATATCAAGTGCGATGCATTTGATGCCTGGGTACCCCGCGCAAAGGCGGTGCGACCGATGCGAACACACCAGGTGTGGCTGGCACCTGCTGGTGATTCCAAGGACAGTGTTTCGTGAGCGCTGCCAGGGGTAAGAAAAGTAGGGCTTGATGAGGCTTGCAGTACTCAGCACTGCTTAGGTCCGGAGCAAAACTAGCCGTGTTTGAGAGTAGGATATCTTTGTGCCGTTCTTGCCGGGCTGATTTGTCGGGCTCAGATTTAGATCGTCCACATTTATAACTATCATTTATGGCAATCTCCCCCTCGAAAGATTTCATAAAGTGCACGACGTTCGGGACAGCCGCGCTAGCCATTCGCCATCAACAAACATGTAACATGATAAGCACATGGAAACACAGAGTTGAAAAAGAAGGACCAGTGACGTTTCAGTAGATGTTGGAAGCATTGCTAATTACATTTAATTACCAATTATTATCGAAGGAAGTTTAGAAGTCAAACTTCCGACAATATGGACAGATGAAAAGCAGGGATGTGAAGAGTCAGGATCAAAAAAGAGAACGTCTCAGAAGAAAGAAAATCCAGGTGCGCGAAAAGGTAGGAAAGTCGCGAAACACTGTGTTTTTCCAATGATTTGTGGCTCCGCAGGGTCGAAAAGTAGGCTCGCTAAAGCGGCGGGTGCGGAGCCAGCTGGCCAGATGAGAGATGAAAAATTGCGCGCCGTTGTGGCGAGAAGCACATTTCCAAGTCAAAAGTGTTAAAAACTGATATGTTCAGAGCACTTTTGGATGCTGCGCCGTCGAAAAAGTGCACGCCGTTGTGGCGAGAAGCACATTTCCAAGTGAAAATGTACAAAGCACTTCAGCTTTGGAACACTTTTTGAAATTGTGATGTCGAAAAAGTGCACGCCGTTGTCGTGCGAAGCACATGTCCAAGTCAAAATGTATAAGGATGTATAAGGCACCTCAGCCTCGGACCTTTTTTTTAAGTTGAGATGTCGAAAAAGTGCACGCCGTTGTGGCGCGAAGCACATTTGCAAGTGAAAAAGCAAAAAATATTTCACGTTCCGAGCACTTTTGGACGTTCAGATGTCGTTTCGCGCGGCAGACGCAAGGGATTGTGCACCTTGTCAAAAGTGAGCAAAACGTGCGGGTTTTGCAGCAGTTTGAAAAACGTTGGCAGGCGTGGGACATTTGAAGAGGTTCTGCAAAGATGCACTCTGCGTGGCAGGGGCGGTACAAAAGACATGTTCATCAGAGATGTTCGGAGGTCAGGGCACTGATTTCCTGAGAGGGGTTGCATTTTTGAAGCATCGGATCTTCAGGTTTGCTAAGATGATTTTATGTGACAGGTGCAGCACTTCGTATGACCTGGCCTCACTTTTTCGTGGCAGGCGCAATATTTTAGTAGATTTTAGACAGATGGACTGGAAAAATCGCAAAATGCATTGGTACGAAGCCGTCAGCTCTGCATTCAACTCAGCAAGACTAAGCGGTGGTGCAGGTTGCAGTAGGTTAGTTACCACATGGTTTGGATGGTTTGAAAATCAAAAAGCACATTTAAAATCATATGTTTTTCGCCAGAAAAGAGAAATAAAAAGAAATAACAAGAAATAAAAAGAAATAAAAAGAAATAAAAGGAAATAAGCAGAAAAAAATGCACATAAAAAAGATAGAATTCAAACGATTTTACTTCATCCTGTTTAATCTGTTCAGGCTGAAGCCTATCAAAACTGATTTTGTTTTGACAACGCTGGCCACGCGGTGCCAAACGTCTGACAACAACTGACGAAAAAGGCGCATCAGGAACCAATGTCATTTTTGGTCACGTGTAGCAACGTACCTCATCGATCCATCAAAACAAAGTCAGCACGACTCAGCACGGGTAGGGACAAGAAATGCAAAGGTCGGACCAAACATGAACCCAAGGAAAGGATTCATTCCTGCCATCATTGGGTTGACCTCTCGATGACGCTTGGCGGTACGGGCCAAAGAACCATTAGCTGAAGACGACATGAGTGAGCGCTGAAATTGAAATTATAGCACGCAACAATTGACCACACAAGACTCTGGGATTCAACATGCCACCAAATGCAGGTTATCCCACTGGCGCGAAACCCAAGAGAAAAAAGAAAAAAAAAGAAAATCGAAACAAAACACAAAAAGAGAAGAAACAAAAAGTCACCGTTTTGCAATTTGTACCCAATCACCGCTATGCAATTCATGTTTGGAAAACGGTTCCCAGAAATCATGCCGTAGTGATCTGTAGTGACATTTTTTTTCACATGTTTATGGTTCATGTTGAACGGTCTGGAGCGGTTTTGCCATTTTCCCTAGAGGTTTCTACTCAATCACCGCTGCCCAACTCATGTTTGGAATATGGTGGCCTCCAATGCTCACATATCTTTATCATTCATTGTGTGTTTTATTGTTTTCATTCATGGTTTATTTCATGTCCTGGTGCCTTTTACTTTGTTATTTATTTTCATTTATTTTCATTTATTCTCATTTATGTTAATTTCTTTTAATTTTTCATTTTTTTTTGCATATCCTGCTTTTTTCTCTTGAAAAACTATTACCAATCAAAACCACTTGCATGTCGACCCACGACTCAGTTCTGCTGATCAACTTTCCATATTTCAAGGAAGTCTCGCAGAATTGCCGCGTTTTTGATGTTGTCAAGTTCAAAAGCTGAGGAAGTCTTGCAGAATAGCTTTGTTATCAAGCTTGCAGATTGCAGATGGACAGATAGATAGATAGATAGATAGATAGATAGACAGCTACAACTTCCACTACCACTACCATTACACTACACTACTACAACTACAAATGCAAACAAGCTACGCTACATTACACTACACTAATTACATTACACTACACTAGTTACATCTAATTACGCTACACTACACTAATTACATTACATTCCACTACAACATATCACAGCTACAACTGCAACTGCAACTACACTACGCTAATTACACAGCATTAAAACATTACAACTTGCAACTACAACTCCTCTACGCTACACTACAACTACAACTGCACTACACCACAGCTACATCCACCAGTTGTGGTGAGGTGACCACTGCAAACATTGCAGCCACTCCAAAAAACACAACTCCAACCACCTTTGGGTCCATCAGTGGATTTGCCCTGCCATCCGTGATTCACAACAACCAACCTCTCCTTTTGGTTTCTTATTGTTGAAACTTCTGCCACCGCCTTGTGCGGCACTACTGGTAGTAATGAAGCACTGCGGCGGGGTCATGGTGAGGGTAGTATCGCCGTACCACTCCTTGGCATGAGCCGCCTTGCTCTCCTGCCGGGCGCTGCGGCCTTTACTTTGCTTCAAAGTCCACTTTGGGAACCTGAGCTGCAGGCGCTGTCGGTAGAAGCCTGTGCCTGTTCTACATATCCATTTTGAAACCATCCAGCCATGCAGTGGAGTGTGAAGGCCATTGAAAACCCAGGACCCAGCTATGGGGCCTTAGATGTTGATGGTTCTTGTGTGCCTTGCGCGTTTGCCACAAGGACCACTTCGAGCCGCTGCGGAACTTTACCCCGAAAAACCCACTGGCAGATGACTTCGAGAAGCCAACAGCTGTGATACCCAGGTATCGAAAACTCACAGCCGGCCAGCTTCAAGACTTGGTTTCCAACGGCCAGCCCTTTGTTGTGGAGGACTGCGGTCAAGACGTCTCTTGCTTGGCAGATAGATAGATGAGCCCCTTTCTTTGGGGCAGAGCATGTCACTTGCCTAACGTTGGACCACCCGCCCCATACTTCAGAGCTTGGGCCAGATTCAAGGATCGTGGGATGAGAATCGATTCGATGAGTGATGATCTAACCTTTTGAAGTCTGGTTTGGAACAGAAACGGAGGATGATTCGGAAGACCATCTTGCATCATCTGTAGATTCATTTTGCAACTCGAGGCATCCGGACACATGCAGAGGCCAGGGGTCAACTGAGGCTCCTCTTATCTCATGGAGCTGCAAGGACTATGCCCTTCGCTGGCCTGAAGGGAAGATGCGGGCGGAGTATTCCGAAGGGCAGCGGCCCATTCTGCTGGGAGATGCCGATTGGTTCAGGCCCTGGTTTGATTCTGCATCGCCAGCATGTTCTCATCCATTTTTTTGGGAGTTCATGAGAAATACTGTATAGGATGCCGGTGTCATTCCGACAGAATGCTACATCATAACGTAAGTATCTGAGTCCTCCACATCTTTGCCCCAGGACTTTGCGGCCAACAGGTCTACATAGCCAACATTTGTCCAAAGGTGACAAGTTGGCAGGGCCCTACATTTGGCATGTGAAAGATCCTCGACTTGTTTATTCACTTGTTCCACGTGTCCTCACAGAATGTGTGTATCTTTGCACGAGTGGCTGCGTTTTGTGCAGCAGATGCCACCCGACCAATTCAGACCAGACCTTGGATAACAGCCAAGGACCATGAGCCCAATCAATGCTGCAACTCCACCGAGACGCACCTAGATGAGATTTCAGACACGAGCAGCAAGCGCTGGACACGTCCGAACGAGTCACTGTGAAGATTGTGAAGATTGCAGTGGATCTGGCGGTTGGTGAGGTTTGTTTACACTCTCTAGATTCCATCCCATAACTACTTGGGAAGATTTCATATGATTTTTAATTGGCGAAATCATACTGGCGGGATGGCTAAATCACCATGAGATGTCGAACACTGAGGTGTTGGCCAGTGAAAAGGTCTGTCCAAGAGCATTGGAGGACGCCATACTTTTTGCGCCAGCAGCATATCAATGCGCAAGAAGCAAAGGACTCCTTTGAGCTATGGTTCAGCTTGGCTGGTGGTGGTGCCTTGAGTCATGCTGATGTGCCTTGTTGAGGACAGGAGGGTGGGGTGATTTTTTATCAGATTTATGATGTACTTGAAAGGTGCCCTCAACCTTGACTTCCTCAAGGATGCTAAACCTCCAGTTTTTTATGTAGTCAGCTCCATCCATTTCACGGTGGTTTTTGATGTGGCAAGGCGTACAACGAGATGACTCTCTCGCTCCAACTGCGTGGGTCAAAGGAATGGCGTTTGGCCATGCACCCACCGGTTGCAACCGCACCTTGGACTAGTTGCAGTGCCCTGGGGACCCCCGAAAGATCCACCAGGGGCCGGGGATAGCTGAATATAGCTGAGATGCTGCAATTCCGCAATGCTCTCTTTTGCTGAGGATTACAGTTGCATCATGAGTTTGCATCATGAGTTTGCATCATGAGTTTGCATCATGAGTTGCATCTGTCTGTGTTGATTGTCTTGTAAAATCTTGTGTATCTTGTATCTTTGCCTCAGGCGTTTGATGCGATTGAATCGCATGATGGAGGCATCTACAAATCCAAGAGATGGATGCCCGAATATGACTTCACCCTGCATCAAGGGGAATGCTTCGTGTTCCCGCCTGGCTACTTCCATGAAACCTTTGTAAGGCTGTGCTGCCACGAGTTGACAAGAAAGTGGGTGACCGACTGTGCTGACAACAATATGGCATCATATTGTGGCATCACGTAAACGTGGCTGTAGCTAGACTCTGGTTGCGTGCTGATCAAGAGTCATAAGCAGACATGGGTTTGTCTGAAACTAGGGTACCCCCAAAATTCATGGTAGTTTATCACGATATTTCCCATTCACATGGCTATCTGATGGTATACCACCTTTGACACAATCAATGAATCACGCAGTTTAACTTACACGTCTTCCTCTTGATTTGGACTTGGTCCTCTTTGAAGGCCGGATGCTGCTGCAGAACACTGTACAGTTGCAGCCACTTTCCAGTTCATAGCGCCTTTGCCAGTGCCTTGACAGCAATGAACTGCTGGGCACAGCGATGAACTTTGCCCTTCATGAGGCGCGCTACTGGCGAAACTTTCTGCCTCGCTGGTTCAATAGCCACCTGAGCTGGGAGGACCAACGAGTTTCGAATGCGATATTTTGATATATTTTGTGGTTCGCAGATGGGAGAATCCCTTCTATTACTAAAACTCCCCCAAATTAAAAAAAATAGGATTGGTGTGGCACTTCTGTTTTTTTGTTGGGCACAATTGGATTCTTAATTGTGGTAATTGAGAATCAATAGGAGAACAGGATGGTGAAACAATGGGTTCAACCCCCTATTATATAATAGAAATAAAATTTCAGCTGGATGTTTTTTTATTAGGATCCCATCTCGCAAGTATTATATTTTATTAGTAGGGTTTTCATTGAAATATTAGGAGAAAGCTTCAAAATCCAGTTTTTGGCAATATTTTATATAGATTTTAAAAAGGGATTTAATCAAATTTGAATTCGAGTTGTTTATTCTTATTATTAGGGTTTTCATTGGAATATTAAGGGCACCCTAATACAAAATACACCCTAATAATAAAAATAGATCACCGTGTTTACCATGTGGGGTGGTGGTGCTTTTAGTAATAGGGAGAGAGGATTAGTCTAGTCAAGAGATGAAACACACCTGGACCCAATCAAACCCTGGCAGTTTATCATTTGAGCCAGGTTCAGCACTGTACCGTAGGCCAGTTTTGTATATGGTGGAATTTATTCACAGCGGGACCACACGCGCACAAGCGCACAAGCTTCTCACAAAATTGCACAAGCTTCACGCAAACTTATGTTCACGCAAGCTTCGCGCAAGCTCAAAGCATCTCAAAACATCTCAAAACCATCTAGTTCGAACTTCGAACCAATTGAACACCACGTCCAAAATCTGCTTCGTGCCTGCATCGCGCAAGCAAAAAGCATACGAAATCTGAGCAAAACCTGTTCGCGCAAGCTCGCGCAAGCTGATTTTGAAACATGACCATGCAGCTGCCGTGGTGCTCGCGCCAGGATGGCGCAAGAGTTTAGCACAAGCTGGGATAATTCATGATAATTAATTCCATTCGGTTTTGACGGTTTTTGCCCTTTGAGTGGCCAACTTGGCCAGAGGAACATAGCCTGGAGGTTTGGGCTCCAGTGGCAACTCTGTCCCATCAAGGCGGCACGAATTGGGAAGTGACTTGACAGCGCTGGCGCTGCTGCTGATGTTGATTGTTATCAGTGGTGATAGTGGTGCAATATACCGATATGAACTGATACAAGTGCTAGCGTTAAGTCGTATCAGCTCGTAAAAGTCGTATCGGGAGGCGGTGCGCCTGGAAAAAGTTCAAGTTTGGCATCACCATAACTTTTAGTGATTGAGTGATTTCATTGTTTTGGGGCCGTGCGCCTGGAAAAAGTTCAATTTTTGTATCGCGTTGATTTTTAAAACACTTATATTTGATCATTATTTCAAGGGGGCAAACGCTGGTTGCTTCTTGCCTTCTGCTTGCTGCTGCTTGCTGCTGCTTACCTGCTGCTGCTCACCTGCTACTCACCTGCTGCTTGCCTGCTGCTTGCTGCTCCTTGCTGCTGCTTGCTGCTGCTTGCTGCTGCTTACCTGCTGCTCACCTGCTGCTTGCCTGCTGTTGCTTGCTTGCTTGCTCGCTTGCTCGCTTGCTCACCAGCGGAGAGAGGGAATGTTTCTGGCTGGTTGGAATGAAACATTGCGGTCGCATAGCGCGGTTGTTTCGCTGCGCTCACCATCTTCACCATCTTCACCATCTCGCAAGACGGCGCAGACGGCGCAAGACGGCGCAAGACGGCGCAAGACGGCGCAAGACGGCGCAAGACGGCGCAAGACGGAACAGACACAACAGACGGCGCAGACGGCGCAGACGGAGCACCGACAAAACCTGCCACGCTTTCCGCCCGCAATGGAAAGAACGGTGCTCGTAATCGCGCCAACAATAGACATGGTTGCGGAAAACAAGGGGCTCCATATCCTTATATCATCCTAGATCATAGCCCTGCCGATAGGATTTGCTACAGCTAACCCATTTGCGTTGCAAGAAATTTGAGGCTGCACCAATAGGGGTCTGATTTGGTCACGCGACGCAGGACATCAATATAATTATATTCAAATCCAATAGGATTAGCTGCCGAGAATTTGTTTGTATTAGCTTGAACCCTTCAAAATCATCGCTGTGCGCAATGCTTCGGCTACTTTTAACTAAATCTCCAATTATAGATGAGACAGGCTGTGCCATGGTGTTTCTTCTTCCCTGATGTGACTTTCCACTACCTGATGTGACTTTTCTGTATCGCCGCCGTGCCATGGGGATGATGTGACTTTTTCCACCTGATGTGACTTAAGTACGTCGCTCGTATGAACTGATATGATATGATATGATATGATGTGATATGCACTGTGTGGTATGATATATGATTATTACGGCCAGGCGCTGTGTGTTGCCCAGGAAGTTCAAGTGGCGTTTAAGCATTATACTTCAGCATGCACAAACACCTGCGCAGGGCCAGTGCCTGGAGATTTCCCAGACGGCATACCCTAAGCCCTGAAACCCTAAACCTAAAACCCTAAAACCAAAAACCCTAAACCTCAAAACCTAAACCATTTAAACTAAACCCTGAAAACGTTGAATCCCAAACCAGAAAACACTGCGTATATGCAGTATTTTCTGCAATCTCTCCTATCATATTCGACAACGCGACATCCTCAATGTTAATGTCTGGGCAACACACGGCGTCTGTGGGTTTTAATTATTATATGTTATGCATATACTCGCACACACACACATCTACACATATATCATATATGCGTAAGTTTATTGTCACACCTATTAGGACTAACAACAGCAATTGCTATTACTGTTATTGTGGCAGTTGGTGCTCCATCAGTCGCTATTTTTTTCCCTTTCTTTTTTTAGTGTTCACCTGTGCGTGTACAAGTACAGGTCCGGCTTTCCCAGGCATGCCAAATACTGAAGGCGCACATGCACAATGTCTTGTGGCTCCTTGCACGGCTGCTTATTCTGCTTTGGGAGTGTGCCATCAGCACGACGCCTCTAGGTCAGCGCAAGAACTTCCCTTTTGCTACGCAAGCTTGACTCTGATCAGGTGCTTTGGCTCAGCTGGTCGAGCCACTTTCTGACAGTTAACTTACTTAACTTCCTGTAGTGCATTGATGTTCTTCATTTTGTGGCTGGCATGGCCTGAAAAGGCCACTGTGACATAGACATACCCCTGTTCTGAAAAGCAGAGTGTTGAGATGGCCCAAGGACGAGAGAGTATCATATGCTGTTCTTCGTTTGCATTTAAGGCTTAGATCTCTGGGCACGGTCTGCCAACCAAAGTGGGCAAAATGACCAAAGTGGGCAAGATGGCCAATGCTGGCTGTAAATGTGGCCAATTGACTTGCGACTCTTCAAATGTCATTTTTGTAATTGCTGATTTTGTTGCTCTCTCAGGTGTAAGAGGGGTACGGGGCATTGCATTTCCCGGTTTTGTTCTGGGTTGCTAGCAGTGATGCACTTTTGGCTTACTTTTGGGGCATACGCCCAAGCAACCTGAATGCAGTCACTAGATTCAATCTAGATTCTCAGCACATTTGCTAGAGGTCAACCGAGAGAAACATATTAGAAACAGCGATCCAACCTAGGTCAACCCAGTCCTTAGTTATTTTCGAAAAAATATTCATACGATTGACCAATATATAACAATATATAACATATTATGCATGTAGATTGTATATAGTTGGTAGATGCTGGTAGTCATATAACAATTTCTCCTGGCTCTTTTTGGTTATGATGTGATAAACATCACTAGCCCACCAGAAGAAACCCTGCCTGCTCTGCTCCTGCGAATCCTGCCCAGGAGGTCGATGCCTTCTTCCAGCGGCCGGAGAACCACTGGGCAACGGATAAGGACTTCGCGTGGTTTCCATTCGTCCCGGCAGATCAGGTGAGCTGCGTTTCTCTTTTTACGGGCAGATGACCAACCCACCCTTCTTTTTGGTGGATATTCTGATGGCCACTAGGTCACTACAAGAAATCGGGAAAATGATGATCCACTTTGGGATGTGGTGCGTTTATGAACCATGGGATTTTAGGACAGCCACGATGAAATCACAGGTCCCAATCTCCCTGTGCAGGCGGCTCAGGTCAAAGATGAGGTAGCTCCTTGGACAGCAACTGATGATATATAGAACATTATCGAACATATTCGAACCTGCCCAGGGGAGGTATGTCCAGAAAGCCAGAATCCGAATTGCAGCCATATCTTTTCTAACATTTCTACCATAGTCCTTGTCAAATGGGCCGCATTTTGAACTCCTGTGCTGCTGAAATTGAAAGGTGAGTTTTGATAGCCAGCCATCGAAACAATTCTAAAACAACGGCAGATGCCATTATATTATATATGTGTATGTATATATATATATGTATATTATAGTATATAATATATAACCTAGATGTATAATATACACTATATATATATGCATATCATTGTTCCTCATAGCCAGTCGCCGGTCTCAAAAGGCGTCGATTTGCTCTCAAGGCTTGGGAGTTGCGAAGGTCGGTCGCAAGAGCTGTCGTTGACTTCCATGATTTGGATGGTGATGGCCAGATCTCAGGACCTGACAGTCACAGAGACCCACAGAGCAATCATATGCCTAACATGCAACAATCATACCGATACTTGTATTATAATGTGTATGTATGCATCGTGTTTGGCAGGCACTGGGTGTGCATTATCATTAGGGTGAGTATGTAAGCTGATGAATCCATTTTGGCTCAAGTCTGAGCCAAACTGGCTTCATCGTTCTTTCTTTTGCTGGGGTACCCACGCCACTTCTAGGGAGTTACCCTAGGTTTAGTGGTTTTTCGTTCCGGCCCGGTTGGAATGAGGCTGCCCACACGGATGCGGAGCTACTTCATGCAGCCGCCTACTACGAGTTCAAGACGCACGTGGAGGGCTTGCTCCAGCGGGGCTTGGTGGCCGAGGCCACCCGCTTATGGGCTTCTGTGTGCCAAATTGATCATTTCCCCCCACATCCAATTGGGTTGGGGGTGCAGGGACTCCCCCCTTTCAGACGGTCACCTTGCATGGAAGAGAACTGTAGGAGGTGCACTGAATATCTGGGAGGATTCAAGTTCCCTTGGCTTGGCACATGGAACAGCTCAGCTGTCTTGGCTCTGCCCGGGAGTGACCCGCGGCTTGCGTGGCAATCCTACTATGATCGCCTGGGCGAGGCGAAGCTGGATTTGCTGCTCATCGAACCGCTGCGGACTCATTGGACGGCACGGGACTTTGCGCCAGACAACATCTTCGGCTTGGTCGCCTTCATCGAGCACAATGCCGAGAGTATGGTTGACCTCACCGAACTTTGGGATGTTTGGAAGACCTGGCAGTCCCCACGTCGAGGATGGAGGGACCCATCCATGGTGCCCATCCCGGCTGACCTGGTTGCGTGGAGAGCACCACGGGCCAGAGCAGTTCGGTCGTTATGGGGTTGGCTCGGCGCCATGGAGGCTGGGGAGGAACCCTTGCCACCTTGCAAGGCTTGTGGACTGCCGACACCTGAGCTCTGTGAGCGATGTTTCTCCTCAGTGTGCAGTACCTGTCCACCCTCCCAATGTCCAGGATGTCACCCCGTCTTGCGTCGAGACCCATCTGCAGCAGCTGCGGCCTAGTGATGTGTGTTTGTTACCTGATGATACCGAGGTTTGGTCTGCAGTTTCAGGCCCAGCACGTACGCTCCAAACCTTGGCTGCGGTGGTGTCAGGGGTCGCCATGGCGTACCACCCTGGAGCCTACGCGGTGCAGGCTGCTGGTGAGGCTCCACCTTGTGCAGAGACGGCAATGGAGAGGGTGGCTGCCACCCGTGTTGAGCAATGGCGATCTCAATGGGGACTACATGATGAGACAGACTTTGCATATGCGTTTGCATCCTATGACAGCGCAGTGGCACATGGAGGACACCATGTTGCCGATGCGTGGTTGCAAGCACGCTCCAAGTCCGTCGAAGCAGACCTCATCCCTCAAGCTGCTGCAGTAGCCGAAAGCTCGGGCTCCAGAGACCGGCCAGCAACATGGCCAACGCCCAAGGCGTCCATGATGAAGAAGAGCAAGATGGTCCAGGCTCTCCGTGTCCGACCAGGTCCAGATCAACCAGAACATGTGCTGCTGCGAGCCGAGGCATTGCGGAAGGCCTTTTCTCTCAAGCCAAGGTGATGCGTCCTCAAGGGGAGTTGACCCCTGAGAGGTATTCACAGTGGCAAGACGCATTGGACACTCTGGCCAAGCGGAAGGTGACGGAGGCTGAGGGAGCAACGGTGGTGAACGCTCTGAAGTCATGGGCTGAGTTGCGGGCCTACATGGAGCAGAAGGACCGCCTGTTCCCACCGGATGCATTAGACCTCTATGGCTTCTTGCAGAATGGCACGTCTGGGCCTTACCGAGCCTTTCACTCCTTGAAGTGGTTCTCCAAACATGGTCGTTTGCAATGGGATTTCAGTGATGTACCAGTCCCAGCTCGCAAGAATCCACCCAAACAGGCAAACCCAGAACAGGCTGTTGCAGTTGAGCCCCCGATGATTGCAGCGCTTGAAGAGCGAATTCAATCGTTGTATGAAGCAGAGGACCCGCGTTGGAGGGGCTTACTTTCCAGCTGGCTGGTCACCTTTGGTGTCCTGCGGTACCAGCACATCATGCGGGCCAGACCGGTCAAAGTGACCCCAAGCTCCTTTCACGGCTACTGCACAAAAGGTAAGCAGAAAGCCAACAGGGGCGGGTTCTCCTTCAGCATCCCGGCCACATTCGTCAATGGATGGGCTTGGGGCTCAGCCTTATTCAGGGACTATAGCAGTCTGGACAAGGCTAAGCAAGCAACTTCGGGGCTATGCTTTGATGCGGAGGGCACCGCATACACGTTGAAGTTCGTCAATGAGCTCAATCGTGAAGTCTGTGAGCACTTGGTCCAGAACACAAAGGATTTGTCCTCATACTCCTGGCGGCGAGCTGCGCCTACAGTGGGCACTCTGATGAAGCTGACGCCTCTGGAGCTGTGCTCGCTGGGGGACTGGGCAGATCGTTCCCAGATCCCGAAAGAGGCGACGATGCCTATGCACTACAGTGCAGCCAGGTATGAGCATTCGCTGAGGACCAAGCACATTGTGCGGCTGGCTATGGAGAAGCTGCTTGCCTATGAGTCATGGGAAACCATCCCAACAGAGATCTACGCTGAGGCCCTGGAGTACGCACGCCAGAACGTTGACAAGGTGCTGAAACAGGAGTCCAGGGTCATTTGGGCGGCTCCCCTGACGAAAGCGGAAATGCAGGCGCGTTTCCAGCATTTTCCAGCTATCTGAGGCCCTCAAGCTCAAAGCTGCTGCCAAGAGAGAGGAGGCCCAAGCCAAGGGTGGCCTGTCTGCGATGCCAGCATCCCTCAACGGGAAGGTGCTGAGCGCGTGGCGAAGGGCCTGGTTCTGGATCTGCTAAGGCCAAGCCTACTAGCAAATCCACGGAGGAGCGACCTCCTGAGCCAGCTGTCCCTCCCAGCGCGTCAGTGAGGCGCCCAAGGTCCCCACAAGGGCCGCCGCCTAAGGCACCGCCAGAGAAGAAGGCCAAAGCAGCCCCAGCTCCACCTCCAGCGCCATTGCCAGCCCTGGTTACCAGTTCGGAAGAAGAAGAAGTTGAAGTTGAGGAGGAGGACCTTCCGATTCCAGAGGCACTGGACACTCGGGGGCCCGACCAGAAGTTCGACAGGTTGGCATTGGCGACAATCCATGGCAAGACAGCTGAGAGCCCGAGCCTTATCTACCAAAACAGGGCAGGGGGCAAGCTGTGGCTGAGTGGAATCCCAACCAGGAACACGGCACATCGCTTTCCAAAGGGAGTTACCCTTCAGATTGCGTGCATGGCCGAAGCCCCGTCATCCAGAGGAGGAGTGGTGCTCACAGATGCCCTCTTCAAGCACCTGTGTGTGGCCCATGGTGGTTCAAGGAACAGTGACTTTGAAGAAGTCTGGCCTTTGCTGCGCAATACAATGTATGCAGGCGAGTCGGCCCTTATCCACTGCCTGTCAGGGCGCCACCGAGCAGGTGTTGGGGGCTGTGTGTTCCGAGCACTGCTAGCCCAGGAGAGCTGGGACGTTGCAGTGGCCTATGTCAAGAGCTGCAGGCGCTCGTTGGACATTCCGGGAATCATCCATGAAGAGGGCATGAGGTCGTGGGTAGACACGACTATCAGGACCAGCTCCCTCAGGAACCCGTTCGCAGAGCCCTGCGGCTACATTGCGACACTTCGATCTAAGGTCCACCTGGAGCTCAACAACGGCCAGACCCTCTGCTCCCACAAGCAACCAGCCGAGCGTGCAATCCGCTTGGTGAAACCGATGACGACGCAGGACATGAGCGAGGCTATGGCTTGGGGCCGCGCTTTTTGTGATGGTTGTTTGGTGCGAGCAGCAGCGAGCTGGCACCCACGCTGACCATGTCAGTGGTGGCGCACCAGAATTCATTTGAATAAGAGAAGCACAGGGCCGATTTTGGTAGGCTGATCAACGTGGTCCATAGCTTGCCCGTAGGCCAACATGCATCTGACCCATTTGAGAGCTTGATTTCGGCGTGGAAAATAGCCCTTATTAACATCCGGGAGGATGAGGTCATGACAGGCTGTGCTAATTAGTCTTACCGGTATGCCATGAGGTGGCTTACACAGGCATCTGTGAGTACAAGCTACGTGATGTGAACCGGGGATATGGGCTAAGGTTGCAGTCTGTCTTACCCCTGAGGAACAGGGGAGTTCTTGTCTTACCCCCCCTGTCACCTCCTTCTGTCCCTGGATGGCAGGTGATGCGCAGCATGCGGGAGGCATGTCTGGGGGTGAGCAGCTTTGAATGTTCAAGTCATACAAGGAGTTACCTTGAGAAAATGACTAGTGTTCGATTGGTTCCGGTGGAGAGTACCACCATTCAGGAAACCATGGAGTCTCTAGGGCTGAATTTTTCGTTGGACCCCGTTGTGACCAAGGCGTTGTTGGCTACCAAGATTCAGAACCTCGAGGAGTTTCGGTTCCTCTTTGAAGATGAGTCGAAAGTCGACACGTTCTTGGCCAAGCTGCAACTTGGCGATGAGAGGTTGATCCAAGGATCTAGGTTGCGCAGAGCTTGGACTGCAGTGACCTTGTACTACAAGAACCAGGACCAGGATAGGTCCAAGATCAGTATCAGCGACCTGGATACTATGCTGGCTGACACGGAGTTGCGCGATGTCAAATCCAACTTCTGGGTCAGGTATCGTATGAGGTTTCCACCAGAGATCCATCCAGCTGATGCCACACTCTCGAGGATCAGCAGAGAGCTGTCCAAGAGGATGTTGTGCGTCTACAACTTGTGGAAGGTCCGCACCTTGCAGTACCAGCTCCACACAACTCAGAAGAAGCGCAAGCTGGCAGAGGGGCTCTATACCGAGGAGGCTGAGGATGAGGACAGGATCCCTCATGATTGGGAGAATTATCTGGACCGCCTCCTCACGTTGCTCATTGCCTACGCCATGGCGGGAGTGACCCCCAGGGCGAGTGTGAAAGACGCTTCTGCGGAGAAGACCCTTGGCGCTGACTCGACCGCCTTCG